TGTAGCGTGCAAGCTTTGTAGTACAAAGTAGTACTGGGAAGTGCTTTGTGCAAGCTGTGTAGTACAAAGTAGTACTGGGAAGGACTTTGTGCAAGCTTTGTAGTACAAAGTAGTACTGGGAAGTGCTTTGTGCAAGCTTTGTAGTACACAGTAGTACTGGGAAGTGCTTCGTGCAAGCTTTGTAGTACAAAGTAGTACTGGGAAATGCTTTGTGCAAGCTTTGTAGTACACAGTGGTACTGGGAACGGCTTTGCGCAAGCTTTGTAGTACACAATAGTACTGGGAAGTAGTTTGTGCGATCTTTGTAGCACACAGTAGTACTGGGAAGTAGTTTGTGCAAGCTTTGTAGTACACAGTACTACTGGGAACGACTTTGTGCAAGCTTTGTAGTACACAGTAGTACTGGGAAGTGCTTTGTGCAAGCTTTGTAGTACACAGTAGTACTGGGAAGTACTTTGTGCAAGCTTTGTAGTACAAAATAGTACTGGGAAGTGCTTTGTGCATTTCTAGTACACAGTAGTACTGGGAACGTGTTTCTGCAAGCTTTGTAGTACACAGTAGTACTGGGAAGTGCTTTGTGCGAGCTTTGTAGTACACAGTAGTACTGGGAACGTGTTTGTGCGAGCTTTGTAGTACCCAGTAGTACTGGAACGTGTTTGTGCAAGTTTTGTAGTACACAGTAGTACTGGGAAGTAGTTTGTGCAAGCTTTGTAGTACACAGTAGTACTGCGAACGACTTTTGTGCAAGCTTTGTAGTACACAGTAGTACTGGGAAGTAGTTGTTGCAAGCTTTGTAGTACACAGTAGTACTGGGAACGACTTTGCAAGCCTTGTAGTACAATGTAGTACTGGAACGTGTTTGTGCAAGTTTTGTAGTACACAGTAGTACTGGGAACGGCTTTGCGCAAGCTTTGTAGTACACAATAGTACTGGGAAGTAGTTTGTGCGAGCTTTGTAGCACACAGTAGTACTGGGAAGTACTTTGTGCAAGCTTTGTAGTACACAGTAGTACTGGGATGTGCTTCGTGCAAGCTTTGTAGTACACAGTAGTACTGGGAAGTGCTTTGTGCAAGCTTTGTAGTACACAGTAGTACCGGGAAGTACTTTGTGCATGCTTTGTAGTACAAAGTAGTACTGGGAAGTGCTTTGTGCATTTGTAGTGCACAGTAGTACTGGGAACGTGTTTCTGCAAGCTTTGTAGTACACAGTAGTACTGGGAAGTGCTTTGTGCGAGCTTTGTTTTGCACAGTAGTACTGGGAACGTGTTTGTGCGAGCTTTGTAGTACACAGTAGTACTGAAACGTGTTTGTGCAAGTTTTGTAGTACACAGTAGTAATGGGAAGTAGTTTGTGCAAGCTTTGTAGTACACAGTAGTACTGTGAACGACTTTGTGCAAGCTTTGTAGTACACAGTAGTACTGGGAAGTAGTTGTTGCAAGCTTTGTAGTACGCAGTAGTACTGGGAACGACTTTGCAAGTCTTGTAGTACAATGTAGTACTGGGACGTGTTTGTGCAAGTTTTGCAGTACACAGTAGAAGTAGTTTGTGCGAGCTTTGTAGTACAAAGTGGTACTGGGAAGTGCTTCGTGCAAGCTTTGTAGTACAAAGTAGTACTGGGAACGTGTTTGTGCGAGTTTTGTAGTACAAAGTAGTACTGGGAAGTAGTTGTTGCAAGCTTTGTAGTACACAGTAGTACTGGGAACGACTTTGTGCAAGCTTTGTAGTAAAAAGTAGTACTGGGAAGTGCTTTGTGCAAGCTTTGTAGTACACGGTAGTACTGGGAAGTGCTTTGTGCGAGCTTTGTAGTACACAGTAGTACTGGGAAGTGCTTTGTGCGAGCTTTGTAGTACACAGTAGTACTGGGAAGTAGTTTGTGCGAGCTTTGTAGTACACAGTAGTACTGGAACGTGTTTGTGCATGTGTAGTACACAGTAGTACTGGGAAGTGCTTTGTGCAAGCTTTGTAGTACACAGTAGTACTGGGAACGACTTTGTGCAAGCTTTGTAGTACAAAGTAGTACTGCGAACGACTTTGTGCAAGCTTTGTAGTACAAAGTAGTACTGCGAACGACTTTGTGCAATCTTTGTAGTACACAGTAGTACTGGGAACGACTTTGCAAGCCTTGTAGTACACAGTAGTACTGGGAAGTGCTTTGTGCAAGTTTTGTAGTACAAAGTAGTACTGGGAAGTGCTTCGTGCAAGCTTTGTAGTACAAAGTGGTACTGGGAAGTAGTTTGTGCAAGCTGTGTAGTACACAGTAGTACTGGGAAGTTCGTTTGTCGAGCTTTGTAGTACACAGTAAGTACTGGGAAGAGTTTGTGCGAGCTTTGTAAAGTACACAGTAGTCTGGGACGTGCTTTGTGCAAGCTTTGTTTAGTACAAAGTAGTACTGGGAAGTGCTTTGTGCAAGCGTTGTACTGCAAAGTAGTAACTGGGAAGTGCTTTGGTGTGAGCTTTGTAGTACACAGTAGTACTGGGAATGTGTTCCGTGCATTTTGGTAGTACACAGTAGTACTGGAAGGTGTTTGTGCAAGCTTTGTAGTACACAGTAGTACTGGGAAGTAGTTTGTGCAAGCTTTGTAGTACACAGTAGTACTGCGAACGACTTTGTGCAAGCTTTATAGTACACAGTAGTACTGGGAAGTAGTTGTTGCAAGCTTTGTAGTACACTTAGTACACAGTAGTACTGGGAAGTGCTTCGTGCATTTGTAGTACACAGTAGTACTGGGAAGTGCTTTGTGCAAGCTTTGTAGTACACTTTAGTACTGGGAAGTACTTTGTGCAAGCTTTGTAGTACACAGTAGTACTGGGATGTGCTTCGTGCAAGCTGTGTAGTAAAAAGTAGTACTGGGAAGTGCTTTGTGCAAGCTTTGTAGTACACAGTAGTACCGGGAAGTACTTTGTGCATGCTTTGTAGTACAAAGTAGTACTGGGAAGTGCTTTGTGCAAGCTTTGTAGTACAAAGTAGTACTGGGAAGTGCTTTGGATAGTGTGGAGTGGGGAGTGTAGAGCGTGTAGAGTGTGGAATGTGTAGTGTAGATTGTAAAAAGAAAGAGTGTAAAGTGTGGAGTGTGGAGTGTATAGTGTAGTGTAGAGTGTGGAGTGCAAAGTGTGGAGTGTGGAGTGTAAAGTGTGGAGTGTGGAGTGTAAAGTGTGGCGTGTGGAGTGTAAAGTGTGGAGTATGGAGTGAGGAGTGTGGTGTGTGTAGAGTGTAGAATGTGGTGGAGTGTGGCGTGTGGAGTGTGGAGTGTGGAGTGTAGTGTGTGGAGTGGGGAGTGAGGAGTGTGGAGTGTAGAGCGTGTAGAGTGTGGAGTGAGGAGTGTAAAGTGTAAAGTGTGGAGTGTAAACTGTAGAGTGTGGAGTGTGGAGTGGAAAGTGGCGAGTGTGGAGTGTAAATTGTGGCGTGTGGAATGTAAAGTGTGGAGTGTGGAGTGAGGAGTGTGGTGGGTGTAGAGTGTTGAGTGTGGTGGAGTGTGGAGTGTAGAGTGTAGAGCGTGAAGTGAGGAGTGAGGAGTGTAAAGTGTAAAGTGTAAAGTGTGTAGCCTGGAGTATAAAGTGTAGAGTGTGGAGTGCGGAGCGGAAAGTGTCGAGTGTGAAGTGTAGAGTGTCAAGTGTAGAGTGTGAAGTGTAGAGTGTAAAGTGTAGAGTGCGGAGTGTGGAGTGTAAAGTGTAGTGTGCGGAGTGTGGAGTGTAAAGTGTGGAGTGTGGAGTGTGCAGTGGGTAAAGTGTGGAGTGTGGCAGGTGGTGGTGATCTCGTTGTGCTGGTGATGTTGCTGTGCTGGTGATGCTGTTGTGTTGGTGATTTTGTTGTGATTTCATTGCGCTGGTGATATTGTTGTGTTGGTTGTGATTTCGTTGTGCTGGTGGTGATGTTGTTGTGCTGGTTAGTTGTCTCTTTGTGAACTGCACGATGCATGCAAACAAAGGTTCGTTTTCCTATTGCAGAGGTTTGCACTCGTAGTCCAAGAGCGTGAATACATTCGGGTTCGTGGCTTCCATCTTGTTTTTATCAGGCATCAATGGCAATGTGCCATGTTGGATTTTAAATCCATGGGAAATACAACACAATTGGTTGATTAGTGACAACTTTGGTGTGATATCCAAGAAAGTGTGAACATGTCCATCCAGATGGCTTTGTCTGAAAATAGGTCACCCCAAATCCTTTGGTGAATCACCAACTTCCTTATGAAACGGGGCCGTATTGGTGTCGCATCGGAGGCGCTGACCTTCATGCTTTGCTGTCCGCTCTAGATGGCAACTTGGACCAAGATCAGGCTGGTGGCCAAGCAGATTTGTTCAGAACGATGTAAAATGAGTATGTGCATATTAATCATGTGAATCACGATTAAAACATGCACGGAAAAGCAACGAAACACATGATGTGTATGTAGATGCATGATATATATCATCATACATATCTCAAGTCTTGGATGCCTGTGGATGTAGATGTATCATGATATATCGATCATATGGTTGATTGGATGATAATTACAAGCGAAGAAAAAAAGGCCAATTCCCCATTTGAGTTGATGATTCCCATCTCTGAGGAAACCTGGGATCTTTCTACTTTGATACTTTAATCTGTTGGCATAAAGGGATACAATTGTTTATGGTATGTTATAATTACATGTGCATTGCATATACACATATAATATCATATAATCACATGTTTATTTTGTGTTTAATTATTTAGTTATTTGTTTCTTTACCTAACCATGTATTTGTCCTTTTCATTTTGTGAAGGGTATCATCGGGTATCTAAGATTAGCCATGATATCATCAAATTGCCCCTGTTGATCTGCTGGTTACCCTCTGGTGATCTAACTTAGCTATGGAACATCACCATCTTTAAGTTCGGTAAATCAACTATACATGTGCCATTTTCAATAGCAAAGTGTTAAATTACCAGAGGGTAGTATAACTATTTAAAACATGTGATAGATAACTGTATAAACATTGTTAAACCATGTTAAACCATGTTTAACCACCATTTGTTAAACAGGATACGAGCACGTTCACTTCTTGAGCTTCGGATGCAACGGCGCCTTGGCCAGCTCCAAGTCTCTCGCCTCCCTGCTGGTCCAGGTTCTTCAGAAAGGCGCGGCGCGGTCCCTTTCGGGACTGCGTCGCTGGTGGTCAGGGAATGTTTTCATGGATTGATGTTTATAATTGTTTGTGTACATGGATTGTTTATGATTGTTTATGTAATATGGATTGTTTGTGATTGTTTATGTAATATGGATTGTTTATAATTGTTTGTGAATATGGATTGTTTATGTAATATGGATTGTTTATGATTGTTTATGTAATATGGATTGTTTATGATTATTTATGTAATATGGATTGTTCATAATTGTTTGTGTACATGGATTGTTTGTGTACATGGATTGTTTATGATTGTTTATGTAATATGGATTGTTTATGATTGTTTATGTAATATGGATTGTTTATATGATTGTTTATGTAATATGGATTGTTTATTGTTTTTATGTACATGGATTGTTTGTTTGTGTATATGGATTGTTTATGATTGTTTATGTAATATGGATTGCTTATGATTGTTTATGTAATATGGATTGTTTATAATTGTTTGTGTATATGGATTGTATATGATTGTTTATGTAATATGGATTGTTTATAATTGTTTGTGTATATGGATTGTATATGATTGTTTGTGTACATGGATTGTTTGTGTACATGGATTGTTTATGATTGTTTATGTAATATGGATTGTTTATGATTGTTTATGTAATATGGATTGTTTATAATTGTTTGTGTACATGGATTGTGTGTGTATATGGATTGTTTATGATTGTTTATGTAATATGGATTGTTTATGTTTTTATGTAATATGGATTGTTTATAATTGTTTGTGTATATGGATTGTTTATGATTGTTTATGTAATATGGATTGCTTATGATTGTTTATGTAATATGGATTGTTTATAATTGTTTGTGTATATGGATTGTATATGATTGTTTATGTAATATGGATTGTTTATAATTGTTTGTGTATATGGATTGTATATGATTGTTTGTGTACATGGATTGTTTGTGTACATGGATTGTTTATGATTGTTTATGTAATATGGATTGTTTATGATTGTTTATGTAATATGGATTGTTTATGATTGATGTTTATGATTGTTTTTGATGGATTAATGTTGTATATAGCGAAAGAATATGTTTTTGTTCATGGATTGAAATGGAAGTATACATCATACCTAAGCGAAGAATAATATGGGGGAATCTAAGGTTGGCCATGAGATGTGGGGCGGCCGAAAACTGGTACTTCTCTGGTACTCAAGGCGAGAGAAAATGCGAGCTACATTAGGAGATGAGTTCTGAATGAGATTTGCGATTCTATGGGATTTTGAATTTTGAATCACCCTGCTTTTCAGCTTTATATGTATGTTTATCTACTCTTAAACCATAAAAACCATATCAAACCTTATTAGTTTTTTCCCCCTTACCGGAAATTCCGGTGGATCGGCCTGTTTCAACGCCTGGCTTAATGCGAGGCTTCATTTGGGCCTGTGACTTTGGTGAAGTTTACTTCAATGAGGAGGTCTTCGACCACCTTCTGAGCGCCTTGGACCCGCGGCCCCTTCGACCTGCGCGGAAGCGGAAGACAGGGCTGGAGGAAACGAGAGAACCCAGCAGCAATTTGGCGTTCTCCTTTGCTGATCAAGGTGCCTGGCATTTGGGATGATTCAGATTAGATGATGGGATATTTTAGATATACTATATATATATAATTACATGATGAATTATGATGATATAATCAAGAAACATATCAGGGGTAATTTTAGGGGCAAACCCTCCGTTTGCCCGCGCCGACGTCCACTGCGTGTCCAAACATCAAAAAACACTGTGTTTTGTGGGGCGAAATGCACATGTCCATGATCATGGCTTTCATCTTGCAACGCAAAGCTTAGCAACCTGTGCCACCACCACCACCACCACCATCACCACCACCACCACCATCATCATCATCATCATCATCTTGAAGATTCCCTTGAATATAAAGTTTAACGGGGGTGGGGATTTAATGATTCCCTGGAAACTCTGTTGAAACATCTTGAAGATTCCCTTAAACATGCCAATCAATATCCCTCTTCCATGTACTTGGAAACCGTGGAAATGCTGTGAGGGCGATCCAGGGGGGGTGTTGTGCGTAAATAAAAACACCAAGCAAACCTGGTTGGTCGTTTGGAACATGGCTTTTATTTTTCCATATTAATTGGGAATAATCATCCCAACTGACGAACTCATATTTTTCAGAGGGGTAGGTCAACCACCAACCAGATAATTTACCATTAACCATTATTATCCATTATTCACCATCCATTAACCACTATTTTCACCACTATTAGCCATCATTAACTATGGAATTCACCATTTTTGAGCGCCCTGGGCTCTAAGACTCTAAGCGTCGCCCAGGCTGCGGCCTCAAGGTGCATCAGATCAGCAGGTTGAAGGACCTCACGCGACGACGGCGGCTGTTCGATAAGGCGCTCTCATGGGGCAAGGTGGATCGGTGCCTTGGTGCTGAAGGCTGGTGAGTTGGTAGCAGTGCTATAGGAGTAGATATATATATATATATATTATTTTAGAGAGAGAGATGTTATTTATTTATTGATATAAGGGATTATTTATATATTTTGGGAGGTTCGAAGCATTAGCAGCTGTGACAGTAGCATTGCATCCCGCATGTCCATGTTTTGAGGATGATTCACTTGTACCAGATCCATAGGGTATCATAGGGTGATCTCATATCTCATGGCGGAACATGGCCTCGCTTCAAGACGCTAGAGGCTTCAAAACGCAAGGTTTTCCAAATAATTAATTAGATGCCTTATTAAACCCTTATTAAACCCTTATTAAACTAATAACTTGGATGGTTGGGGTCCCCGTTTTCACCCGTTTTCACCATTGGACCATCCCCCACTCAAAATGAGTCATCCAATCATCCAAGAAGTTGGATTTTGAAACTCGATGGATTGTTAGTGCTTGGTGGTTTGGAACCATGGAATTTGGAACAATGGAATTTTATGTGTCCATATTAATTGGGAATTTGATAATGAATTTCATAATCCCAAGTGACGAACTCCATCATTTTTTAGAGGGGTTGAACCCGTTGAAACCACCAACCAGGACGCACGCGCCGTGGCTGGACATCCCGCGCGTCTTCGGAATGGTGATGAGGTCCAAGAACTTGACAAAATGCTTCTGGGTGGCGTCAAGTCATAAATGGGGGTTTCCATTCATATATAAATGGGGGTACCCCAAAATGGATGGTTTATAGTGGAAATCCTATTGAAATGGATGATTTGGGGGTCCCCCTATTTTAGGAAACCTCCATTTGGGTAGAGCCCACTTTTGGGCGAAGTGCATCTGTTTGGAATCGAAAATGCCATCCCAGAATGTAGAGTTTCCATGGGTTGCCTGGGTTGCCCTATTTCACTAACCATAGACTGCATAGATCAAAAAAAATGTGGATTGTTGGGTCCCAAGTTTCACCAGGTGTCAGTTTCAATTCCTGGCCTGGTGAACCTCTCATGATTCTCCTGGCACATGGATGTTGATACCGCATGCCCCCGAACTCACTCGTCCAAGTTTGGATTCATTTTGATCTCTTGTTCCGCACATCAGCCTTGCTGCAACACGTGTTTTTAATCCCATGACATGCAATGTCAAGCCCGGATCAAGAAGCCCTGACAATCAATTGGAGGGATTAACCCCAAAATTGTGTTAAAATGGGTACCCCATGTACCCCCCCAATGAATAAACTGGGGGGGTTATTACTCCTGGATCAACATGATGCCACGGCAGTACTAACACAACGAGGTTTTTGGCGGCCGTATCAAGAAGCGGAATTCTGGCGCAGAGCTGGCTTTCACTGCACCGGCGGCCCACGTTTGAACCTGCAAAGATCGGGTGGCAAGCGCGTGAATCCATCCATTCGTCGCTTGTCAAGGCAAGGAAGTGGAACCTCAAAGGTTGCAGTGCAGCTGTATCAGCGGACTGCTTGGTGGTTTCAACATGTTTCAATGTGTTTCAAGATGTGTTTCTTCATGCTTGTTTCTGTCCCCACACTTGATGATGACTCCCCAAGCGCTACCAATTGTTAATGTAGCGAAACCACCAGTTTACTTTAGCGCATCCGCATGCAACACGGAAATTCGAAAGCTGCTTCATCCATCCAGATTGAGAGGCTTCAGCAGCACATCTCCCACAATCACCCCCCACAAGTTGACGATGCACCAGCTGCAAACCCGGCTTATGCACTTTGAGCTTTTGTTGATCAACTGGCAGAGTACTAAATCCTAAGCAAGTTTGAGCAATGCCTATTTGATGCCTGTTAGTTAATATGTTAATGATATACACTCTATATATATATATAATTATATATATACATACATGCGGATTCATCTGAAAATAGATGAATAATGCCCCCAAATTAAGGATGGCAATGTGATGCTTATCAATTGGACAGGGTGTTCCCAATTTACAGGCAAACTTACAAACACGACCAAGCTAGTATGATACAAACTATGGATGTTAGCAACATTGTATCATGTCACATAGAATGTCAGAAGAGATGTCAGATAGAATGCTGGTTGGTGGTTTCAAACATTTTTAATCTTCCATAATATATGGGATAATCCTTCCCATTGACTTATTCCACCTGCCAGGTGAGGGTTGTTAGATTTTATCAGAGCGCATGCCCGCCTCCTCCTCCTCCTCGACTAGCTGTCCTCCTCGCCCTCCTCCTCGCCTCCGCCTCTTCCACCTCCACTTCCGCCTTGCTCCACCTCCACTTCCGCCTTGCCAACCTTGCCAACTCGTCGCCAAGCTCTTCGCCAACTGCCCAGCTCAGTGCGCACTGCTGGACGTCAACCTGCGAGCTGCCCAGCTCAGTGTGCACCGCTGGACCTCAACCTTCGAGCTGCCCAGCTCAGTGTGCACTGCTGGACCTCAACCGGGGACCTGCCCAGCTCAGTGTGCACCGCTGGACCTCAACCTGCGAGCTGCCCAGCTCAGTGTGCACCGCTGGACCTCAACGGACAGATAGAATGCCAGATGGAATGTCAGATAGAATGCCAGAAGATATGCCAGATAAAATGCCATGAGATATGCCAGATAGAATGCCAGAAGGTATGCCAGATAGAATCCCAGAAGATATGCCAGAACATATGCCAGAAGATATGCCAGATAGAATGCCAGAATATATGCCAGATAGAATGCCAGATAGAATGTCAGAAGATACGCCAGATAGAATCCCAGAAGATTTGCCAGATAATATTCCAGAAGATATGCCGGATAGAATGCCAGATAGAATGCCAGAGAGAATGCCAGAAGATATGCCAGAACATATGCCAGAAGATATGCCAGATAGAATGCCAGAAGATATGCCAGATAAAATGACATGAGATATGCCAGATAGAATGCAAGAAGCTATGCCAGATAGAATGTTAGAAGATATGCGAGAGAGAATGCCAGATTGAATGCCAGAAGATATGTCGCCAGATTGAATGCCAGATTGATGTTCCTGTGGAGCTGGGAAATATGTCGCCACACTTGGCAGAAGCAATGCTTGTGGTGGAAGATATGCCAATATTAAAACGTAAGAATGTCATGGTGGGGATCACTCGAAGTAAAGTATTTTTTTCAGAGGGGTAGGTCAACCACCAGCCAGAATGTCATGGTGGGGATTACTCGAAGAAAGTAATTTTTTTCTGCCGTCCAATCCACTGGGAGCCGTCCCTCCTTTCGAAAAAAAATCAGGTCGCTTGACGACTGCAATGCACCGTGGCAACCTCGAGCTTCTTGCCAGGATTCAACAGGATTCAACAGGATTCAACAATCCGATGGATTTTCTGATGATGTGTAAAAAGTGTGTAAAAAAAAACTGGTGAATCTACCATTTGAATCCATTTGAGGGAAAGCTACTGGGGGATCTTCTCAGCGGAATTTGGGAAAGCAAATACGAAGGCCGGCCGCGCTGCAGAAAGCCTTTCCACCCGGAGATGAAGGTGAACGGCGAAGCAGAGAACTTCTGCAGACTTGTGGCCAGACAAAGCAGTACGGAGATGGGTTGATGATCAACGCGTGGTGCTTGGAGTATACAAAGTGTGGAAAGATCCACCCATTTTTAATGGGTAAACCATCTATTTCTATGGGCCATCTATACCATGGCTATGTTAAATAGCCAGAGGGTATATCTATGTATATCTTATATTTAATTATATATATATATACAGTAGAATTACAGTAGTATTAAATTTTATAGTAATCTTTGGCTACAAAAAAAGTCCCAGGAACATTGGCCGTTGGGTTTTAATCTCTGGGTTTGGGAGTGGTGCGTCGTTTCTTGCCAAATTCAAAAAATGGAACCCAGCAACCTTGGAACCTGCTGTTGGGTTGCAAAATGTTGCAAAGCTGGGTTGATGTGGTAATGTCAGCAATAAATCATAATTACTTTGCTAATTGGGGGCTTATAGGCCTTCAAATTGATTATCAATGTTGTTTTTCTTACATGCTCCATAACCAGCAAAAATCCTGGAGGAACAAGTGGGAAGAAGTTTTTCGCAGTTGGGCGACCGGGACCCCAAGACGCCAGGGACCCCATGGTAAGTGAATTGGATATCCCGGCCATCTGATATCAACAATATTACCCTCTGGTAAACTAACATAGCTATTGAAAATGGCCATTTATAGTGGATTTACCCATTAAAAATGGTGATTTTCCATAGTTATGTTAGTTTACCAGAGGGTAAAAACTAAAATGGGCCCTGCCGACCCATTTTGGGATCAAATTTAATGGAGGTTCCGCGATGAATTTTTCATGGGAATATGGATGATGGAATTTGCAAGTTGGGGTCCTCAAATTTGCCCAACATCCAAGACCCACAAAATGTTGCTACTGGCAATAGAATTGCTTAGTCGCCCATCAGCTGGTGAAGAAAATCCAGGAATTTGTCGGATTGCAAGATGGCTAGTAGGTAGGGCTACCAGTAGTACCCGCACGAGGCGGGGCGGAAGTTGCCTTAAAGATATATATAAGACCTTTCTCATCTATAGAACTTGCATGCGCCGTGCGCCAGCCAAGCCCGTGCGTGCGTGCACTCTGCGAAAGTGGTGTCTTGTTTCACATGTCACATTTGAAGCTCCACTTCGCACTTCGCACTTCTCACTGCAGTCTTCACACTCCACACTGCACACTTCACACTCCACCCTTCACACTGCACTCTTCACACTGCACCCTTCGCAGTCAACACTTCACTTCACACTGTACTCTTAAGACTCCACACTTCACACTTCACACTCCACACTTCACACTTCACACTGCACTCTTCGCACTCCAAACTTCACACTTCACAGTCCACACTTCACACTTCTCACTTCTCACTGCTTCCTTCACACTCCAAACTTCACACTTCACACTTCACACTGCACTCTTCACACCCCACACTTCATCTCATCTGAGCTCTTCGCACCTTATCCCAGCTCAGCTCTTCTCATCTCATCTCTTCTCATATGTCATCTAAGCTTTCATGAATGACTTCCCAATACTACTAGAAAGGAACTTGCATGCGCAGTGCGCCAGCCAGGCCTGTGCGTGCGTGCTTTGTGCGAAGCTGTTGCAATGTTGTTGTCCAAGAACATGACCTGCACGCGTCCCCGGTACAATGCAAACACTTTCCTCACACTTCACATTGCACTCTTAACACCCCACACTCCACACTTCACACTTGCACTTCGTCTCAACTCATCTCATCTGAGCTCTTCTCATCTCATCCCATGCCTTCCCATATGTCAGCTAAGCTCTTCTTGGCTATTTTTATGTCAAGTACTTCCCAGTACTGATGTCTAATGCAAAAGCTTGCAAAAACCACTTCCCAGTACTACTTTGTACTACATAGCTTGCACAAAACACTCCCCAGTACTACTTTGTACTACAAAGCTTGCACAAACTACTTCCCAGTACTACTTTGTACTACAAAGCTTGCACAAACTACTTCCCAGTACTACTTTGCACTACAAAGCTTGCACAAAGCACTCCCCAGTACTACTTTGTACTACAAAGCTTGCACAAACTACTTCCCAGTACTACTTTGTATTACAAAGCTTGCACAAAACACGTTCCAGTACTACTTTGTACTCCAAAGCTTCTACACACATCAAGTTCTTTCGCAGAGAAGCTTTTACACACAGCAAGCTTCTCAAGCAGAGAAGCTTTTACACACAGAAGCTTTTACACACAACAAGCTTCTTCACAGAGAAGCTTTCACACACAGCAAGCGTTTACACACAGAACACTTACACACAGTGCTTTTACACATGGCAAGCGTTTACACACAGAAACTTTTGCACAGAGACGCTTTTACACACAGAGAGGCTTTTTTTACACACAGCAAGCTTTTACACGCAAAATCTTTTTCACACAGCAAGCTTTCAAACACAGCAAGCGTTTACACACAGAACACTTACACACAGTGCTTTTACACATGGCAAGCGTTTACACACACAGCAAGCTTTTTAAACAGAGAAGCTTTTACACACAACAAGCTTTTACACAGAGAAGCTTTACACAACAAGCTTTCACACACAGCAAGCTTCTTCACAGAGAGGCTTTTACACACAGCAAGCTTTCACACACAGCGGGCGTTTACACACAGAACACTTACACACAGTGCTTTTACACATGGCAAGCGTTTACACACACAGCAAGCTTTTTAAACAGAGAAGCTTTTACACACAACTTGGATGTTCACTAGTAACGGAGGGTTAGCGTGTTTTGCTACTGTCATTTTGGGCTCAAGTCTTTGCCCATTTTGATTGTTGGATACTGACGAAATCGTCACAATGCCCATTTGCAATTGGGCGCTCATATTAGGGCTAGTTTCCAGTGTAGGTTCCCCTTCTGTGTATGGCCTGCCATGGTACCTGGATGTCTTTCATGGGATGACTGGATCTAGGGAGGAAGAAGTCACCAATGGGAAAGATCAACCCGAAGTATCAGAAGGTCAGTCCGATCCCACGAAGGAAAGTTCTCAATCTGGAATCCCGTTTGAAGGAATAGCCCATGTGTGGGGATACTCTGTCCTCCACTTTGATTTCCGTTCATGGATAGGCTCCTCATGGTTCAGCACACCAACAGCACCTGGAACCCTGAGCTCCTCAGGAGGGTGGGGATTGTACTTCTTGGATCAGCTGGGGGTGTGGACATGCGGAGATTTTTGGCCATGGGTTGCCAGATGTTTGTTAAGTGCCATCGTGGTTTTGTGAGCAATTTTGATTCTCTACTTGCTATTGGTTATCTGCCGGCCCTGTCAAGCTTTCTGCAAATGTTGCTGCAGACAGACCAGAGCAGTAGCCAAAGAGGTGGGGGAGCTCCTCCCCGAACTTAGACCTGGGGGCACATACGAAAAGCTGGATATCCGTGGGCCCGCCTCTAGCGGGGGCGTCGATTCCGAATTCTACCAACGAGGCGTCAAGGGTCGAGGTTCAGAAAGAAAACCCAATGACGTAGCTGTTGTGGTGAATGACCAAATAGCTCGCTTGAAGGTAGACGGGGATCATTGGGCACGTGTGGATCGATACGGGTTATGGGTTCGTCTCCGTGGAGTGAAGGGTTCCACGTCGAAAGCGCTTCGCCAAACGTTGGAACAGGAGGGGAAAATCAATCTCTGTCGCGAGCAGCGGTGTCCGCTTGAATTGCAACCAACACCCGGTCTACATTGCAAAGCTTACGCTTCGGTGGATGCCAATGGGCTGGTGGATTTGGGAGCTTATGCAGGGTGGTCCACCCGCAGGGTGATCGTCTTGATGGGTCGATGGCTACGTAGAATGGTGCGGGGGCTTAGTCTCTGCGTGTACTATCTGATGGGATGGTTCATTCTCAGACAACTCTGGGCAAAGCGGACGCCACCCAGAACCATAGTCGAAGGAGCCGTCGTCAGACCCTTGGATGCGGAATCTGAATCTGAAGTAGAGGTACAAGATGACCCTTGTGAGGCCGTATTAGTCGGTTTGGAACATGGAGGCAAACCGAGAGCATTGGCCACAGACCCATGTGCAGATCGGGCTATCGGAGAGCCGGTCCGGCTCCTGGAGAGGGACAGAGAACTCTCTGACGTCAAAAGGAGATCCTCCGTCAGGCTTTGCGACCATCATCGGCAGCTCTACGTGGCGGCATGTTCAAGCCGAAAATGCAGCGTGTTGGCTTGCTACGAACAGGTTGATGGTGCCAAACAGGGAGTTCCCCTCTGCAAGCACCACCTGACGGACCTTGGTGGTTGTGCTCGCCCTACCCGCAGGGTTAGCTGGACACATGAGAGAGATAGCTCCATTGCACGATCCGAGGCATCTATGTCCGAAGGAGAATGCCTCACCCCTGCACGAAGAAGCCGCCGGATCATCTTTGACGGCGCTGAACGACTTGGGCCCAGGGCTGCTTCGGCCGATCCTAGTGAATCCCAGAAGAAGATTGAAGGCAAGCTTGAGAAGGGCCCGTGCATGGTGCTCCTCAGACCAAAGTCATTACAAACCGCGGAGGCCCCACCCAGGTGGACTGCATGGTTGGGGCGCATCGAGGGGTTCGCCGAAGAAGGGCGCAGCCAGGAGCTGCTCGAAGTCCACATCCCTTCCTTGAAGCAAACGTGTGTGATCCACAGAAGGCTGTTGAAAGGGTCCCCTCGAGACAACGGGGCGGGTCGAATTAGTAAGCATTGGGTGCAGAAGTTCCTTCAGCATACCCATGACGAAGAAGTCGGCCAAGGGATATCGGTCTTGGTCGCGCGCCTGTCCGAAGACCAAGCAGCGGCCCTGAATGCCTGGGACGGTGAGGTGACGGATGAAGGAGCGAAGCCAAGTAAAGCCTGGCAGGGGAGACTCTACCGGGAGATCCTCCCACATGCTGATGCATATTTGCGTGAAGAAGCTGAGATGTCCGACGACTTTATGACACCGCCAAAGCCGAAAGTCGAGCTGGAAGAGGGTGCGGGACCGGCGATTCCACCCTTCCCAGACCTAGATGATTCAGATCGCCAGGGAAGAATGGAGGCGGCTCGAAGAGCTCTTGACCAGCACATTGAGGGAGAGATAGATTCCGAAGTGTTGCAGACCGTGGCCACTGCCTTCGACCTAGATCATGAGCAACTGGCTCAGTCGATGTATGCGAGGAATCACCGCCTTAGCTACTCGAAGCCAACGACACCACCAGGATTGGGAGCCGACCAAAGCGAAATGGAGTTTGCAAGAAGACCCGTGACGGCAACTATGCCAGGAGGAGTGACCGTAAAGCCAGCAGTCCCCCGGCCGGCGAATCCACTTCTGCCGAGGAGCTCCTCCTCAATCTCCCCGGTCCAGAGAGGTGGATTGTCGCTCTTTCCCAAGGGGTCAGGCGGTCGAAACAGTCTCGTGAAACCAGCATCGGAGCAGATGCCGGAGGGCAGAGCAGGAGCCACGTTCGGAGAAGCCCTCGGAGACAGCACACAAGTCCAGAGCGCGGACCGCATCATTCACGCCATCGACGGTCTGAGAAGAGCACAGGATGACGACAAAAACCTCACGAAAGGGACCTTGAGTTCTATCAAAGAGGCGGAGAAGATGGACGTCTTCCTGGCACGAGGCTGTGGCACCCTGACCGTTGAACTCGCACCGGGAGTGTACGGGAAGGAACTTTTCCACGCGGGGAAAAGGGTGGCAAATCACGCTCGCCATATGCTGCACTTGATCAAATGGCCGGTGCTGATGACCAACAGGGTCCTACTTGGCATCGCTGGTCTGTGGTGGGGTGGCAAAGACACCTATACCTTGCACGCAAGTGACTGCGTTACCGCTCGGTCCGAGCAGTTGGACAGTTGGAATCCGTCCTCCGACAACAAGATCGAAAATCGCATGAGACCACCAGGAGTCTTCAACACTTGGCTCAGGTACGCGGAAAACTCAGTTCGCGTGTTTGGATCCTGCTATGGTACAGAGCATATCCAAGAAAGGCTCGATTGTCTCCAAGCCCTGAAGGAGGCCCATGAAGAAGACGAGCATGCCTTCCCAGCTGCCTACTGCATCGAGCTCTTTGAGGAACTTGTCGCGGCTTGGTGCGAAGAACTGCGAGAAAGCAGAAGGAAACTCTGCTCTCTGCTGGGGACCGAAAATCCACGGCTTGAAGACCTGAAGCTGCTAGCTTTGGCGCCGGGAGCGGATGGGCAAGCAAACTTCCAGTTTCCAAGCATATGGGATCTGGGCGACCCGAACGGATATTACCAGACAGTTGTGGTACCCAGGCAGCAAAGGCAAATGTCGAGGCTGCTCCACAAGCAGCTGCACGACCACAACCTCAAGCAGAAGAAGACAGCTGGTCCAGCTGAAGATGAAGAGCCAAGGACAGGGAAAGCCCCAAAGCTTAACCTGAAAGACAAAGAGGCCGATGGATATGCGGGCGGCAGCATGAAATCAGCCTACCCAGCTGGAAAACGGCTTACACAAGGAGAAGCTTCACGGTCCGTGGAGCACGCACCTAAGGATCCCAAGACCAACAAACCTATCTGCTGGGATGCGGCCACACACATGGGATGCACAAGAGGCGACAAGTGCCAGCACGCGCACGAGCCTTTGCCGGGATTGGCCAAACTTGACTACACAGTTGCCATGCAGGTCATTCGAAGAGGAGGACTCAAAGGTGGGCCGAAAATCGATCCCAAAGAGGTCGACGGAAGGGTCGCTCAGCTGCGAACCCAGGCAGCGGCGGATAAGGCCGACAAGATCCAACCTAGCAAGAAAGCGAAAGTCAAGCCCAAGCCAAAGGCCAAAGCTGGGAAGGAAGCTGAGGGTAAAGCTGAAGAAGACAAGGTTGGGAACACCCAGTGGGTCGCACCTGAAGACTATGATATCCCTCTGACCCATCTCGAGACTGACTTGCAAGAGGCGGTTCAGGGCCCAGATGAGGGCTGGCTGCGAATACCCTCACAACCCACTGAGCAAGAAGCCGCTCCGGCTTGGGATGACCAGAGCCAAGAGGAGCGGGAAAGGCTGAAACGATGGAAGTCGCTGGAGGAGAAAGGGGTTCTGGCGGCCTTGGAGTCGCCCACGGATTATCTCAGGTCCCATGTGATTGCACGCATGATGGCAGCACAAGATGAAGGATATGAACTGGAGCTGAACCGGTGTCTCGAAGATGCGGCAGAACATGGACATCCCGCGCTCTCTAAGGAAGCCGGACGTCAACTTGAGCTCCTCAAGCACGAGCCAAAAGCGGGTCACCAAGCGGATGTCGAATTTACGCCCATCACATGGGACGAGGGTATTGGTCATGGCCTGTTGAACTTTCAAGGAAACTTGTCGCATATCGGCTCAGTCACGGTCCGTGACTACCAGGATCGCTTGAACGCAAAAGACAGCGAGGTCCCACTGCAAGACGGGCAGTTGGAAGAAGAGCGCCAATGCCTGCCTCTTCATGTGGGTGTCGGGTTAGCGTTGGCCGATGATCCATCTGTAGAACTACGAGAGGCCGTAGCCAGAGCCAACCAGTTGAGAAAACATCTCTGGGATGAAGCAGTGGAGGCTCACGCACACCTTGGCGATCCGCCAGCGTGGATACCTGAGGGCGAGCACTTCTTGCGTCAAAACGTCCATGATTGCCTCTATCCTCACCACGAGAAAGACTACCGCGCCTTGCAAACCCTCACAGGATCCATGCTGCAAGGATACACGTTGGCGGTCCTCAGGATTTCCTATTTTGGTCGGTTGGAGGTCGACTTGCTCCACGGAGATGATGCTGGCAATGGGAAGCTAGTTTTCGTTACCATCCACCGGGGGCATATGCGCCTGCTTCTTCCACAACAGCCCCAGCAGCTGTTGGATCACCTGAGGACTGCAGACAAGGTCACCAGGGAACTTCAGGTTGAACATTGGAGGGTGATCTTGGACCAGAGCAAAGTGGAGGATCAGATGGTTCCAGCCAAGTCCCCCGCCTGCACAAGATGCCAGCAACAGCAGCAAAGGCCTTATCGTGTTGGTGAAGGATTCCCGTTGCCACCGGCTTCATTTGAGTCCTGCTTGCAGGATGATCCACAGGCTCTTCAAAACAGCGGTGTGCCTCTGCGAAAAAGGCTCGCCTTCGCCTATGGGCCAATTGGTCAAGAGGTGTACGCTGGATGGGCAGGATGGACCAAGGGGCTTCAGTACCAGGGGATCCCGTGCGGAGAACCCATTGAATACTATGAGGACCCGATCGAGCAAAAGGGCTTTAAGCCGCAGCATGATACCCGTGACCCGAAGGTCCGAGAACGATTGCTGGGATTAGCTGGTGCTCCACCAGGGCCCGATGTCCCCAACACTTGGCAGCTTGGAGTCGTTTGTACTTCCTTCTGCGACCACCAGCTGAAGAACGGTGGCAGCAGGACCTGGCAACGCCCACAAGGCGACGGCACTCGTCCCTCTGAAGTTCAAGGAAATGAAGACGCAGAGTTCGCAGCCGAACTTTGTACGGTTCTGGCGGACAACGGAAGAGTCTTCGCATTGGAGAGTAGCGCGCCGTCGGGCCGCTACCCCAAGATATGGGACCTGCCTTGTATGCAGAGGCTCCGCCGCCGCACCGGCGCAAAAATTGTCTCTATGGCTATGTGCGCTTGGGGTCTGGGACCGCCTGAGACTGAGGAGGGCCTGTTTCATCGCAAGCATTCTTGGTGGCTGGTCTCCCCAGAACTCTACCCATGGGCCTTGTTATTCCTTGGTAGGCAGTGCCCAGGAGTCGGCCCGACTCACCAGCACGCACCCTTGAAGGGACCCAGTCCAATTCCTCAAGTACCTCTCACTCGACTGGCACAGCAATACGCACCAGCTTTGTGTGCAGCCTGGGGTCTGGTAGTCCGAGCAGCCTTTGAAGAATGGAGCTGGACAACATATCTGCAAGAGCACAGCGTGCTCAAAGCCCTAGAGAAATGTTGGACCGAACTGGACGCACCCCCTTGGCCGGCTGATCCAGCCAATACGTTGGAGCGAACCCTTGGCCAACATTTGGCACCGGTGGTTGCTGGCCAAGCGGATGGACCAGGCCTCCCACATGGCTACACCTGTTCAGGATGCGAACTCCAACAGATGGTCTACCCTTGTACGTTTTGTGGGGGGGAGGGGTCTGTTTCCGATCCCGAAAAGCAAGCTGAGGGGCAGGGCACAAGGGCAGGCAGCGTGGACGACGCCAATGGCCAAAGCACTGCTGAGAAATACTTGGAGGTATGCCAGAGTGCTTACAGCAAGGAGGCAGTGAGAAAAGCCACAGAGGCAGGAAATGCGTTGTTGAGGGCCGCCGGCTCGGTGCCAAGAGCAGCTGAATTAGTCAACAAAGCGAGGCTGAGGAAGTATGGGGAACACTTCCAGAAGGCAAAGGAAGGAGCACTGAAAGGGCTCAGCCCCCTACACGAGCAATACTTGAAAGACTGTGTGCTCAAGGGCGTGCCCAGCCGAGCTAAGAGTACCCCCAAGAGAGAGAAGGCCCGAAACCACGGCTCCGTCAGGGGGCACGAGGAAGAGATGCTGCAGAAGGCATGGAAAGACGCATCTTATGGGGCGGTACTTCTGTGTTCCACAGAGACCGAGGACCAAGAAGAAAATCGGCAAATCGACCAGATACTGACCGAGAGCAAGGTGGCCGAGAGCCCTCTCGGCCGAGTGCCCAAGCAAACCCCCGACAGAACCATCTCAGCGGAAGGTCGTCCCATCAACGATATGCGAGCCAGGAATGCTTCGGGCTCCAAATACGACCCCCCCCCCGCCGCTCAGCCTAGGCACAGAGCAGTGGTCAGGCAAAGCCTTTGGTGGAGGGTGCGACACCCGAAGGTTCCACAGAGGTGTGCGAAACGCGATGTGCCAAGGGCTTTCAAGTGGCACTTCCTCAAGCCGGGCGATGTCCCTGAATTCTGCACGAGGATTCTAGGTGTGCTGATCCTGAGTCTGGTGATGGTGTTCGGTTGGGTAGGAGCGCCAGGGAGTTCGTGATATGGGCCACCGCAGCCCAAAAGCACCACGGGTCGTTCCGACCATGCCATCCTCAATTCAACGATGTGGTTCCCTACACCAGCCGATGGCTGATGGATGACGGCGTGGTGGTAGAGCCACTAGTGGGGAATAGGATCCAGAGATCCCTGTCAGCAATGGATGCAGCTATGGTATCAGTCTGGGGCCCTGGAGCCATCAATCTCGACAAGCTCGCCGAAGAAGGCACCCCGGCAAAATCCCAGCTCCTGTGGGGCCTCCACCTAGACTTTGAAGAACAGGTTGTGGTCCTCCCGGAACCGAAGCGAATAAAGGCGAAGCATCTCCTAAGAGAGCCTCAGCTTCAAAGGGGGTGCCAACGAGTTCGTACCAAGCTGCTCCGAGAACTGGCAGGGACAGCGCAGTATTGGGCCGTCTCCGCTCCGGAGATTGCACCCTATCTACCAGTCTTTTACAGGCTCCTGCAGCAGGAAGTAGGCGATCATGAATGGGTGAAACCCAGGGGCTCCGAGAGTGAGCTAGAGGCTGCCTGGGCTGAGTTCTGGGATGCGCTCGATTGGGTTCGCCTCCAGATGGAAAAGCCTTGGGGAACCAGTTTCAGAGCAGCTTTCGGCAAGCTCCTGCCGTTAAGGGAAAGGCTCGCACTCCCTGGCATGGCCGCTTCGGCCCGATTCGTTGGAGGAGATGCCACGCTAACCAGGCTCGGAAGCACTGATTGGAAGGATAGATGCTACCACATGGCGGACAGCAGCAGATACGTCAGGGCCGTGAGCGAAGTCGTAGGGGGCGGAGATCACTTGGAGATCATCGGAGTGATGGAGCTTCTGACGTTCATTGTCCTGGCAGCGGCGCGGAAGGAAACCTGGCAGGGGCAACTGATCCTTTATGTGACTGACAACATGAATGTCAAAGCATGGTTACGTACCAGGCGCGCTTCAAACAGATACGTGAGGGCGCTCTTGCTGCTGCTCCAGCGGCTCGAAGCGGAGAATAGCTTCACTGTCGATGGAGCGTACGTCCGTACCTACCACAATACTCTCAACGACTGGCTGACAAGGGAGGATGAAGACAAGGTCCATGCGGAAATAAGGGGTTTGCCTTGCATTTGGGTTGCCAAATTGAATTGGGTTGCCAAACTCTGGCCTACCCATGAGCTGCTGCGATAGCAGTCAATGCTTTCACCCATTAGCACAACAATCATTATCCCCTCAGTGCCAAGCTCCACCTGGCAACACCATTAAATTACCAACTGCTTGGGCCAAAAATTGGCATTTGCTTTGCCTTATTTAACCAAGCACACCAAGAAATGACCACTGCCCACCCAGGCCTGCCAAACACTAGCCAGTCATATATTATTGCTATTACTATGATCATTATTATGATTGATGATGACTAGTATTACTATTTATCTATTTTCGTATTTTTGCTTATTTACTGTCAATTACTATTGTTATTACTAGTATGATTTTAACGATTAGCATTATTTAAGTCATTATTATTATTGTTGTTATTATTATCATTATTATTATATATATGTAGATACATTATACACATCACATTCTTAACAGCATCGCATGGCTTCCTCCAGACCATGAATGCAGGCCCTTCTCATTTGTTCATAAGCTCTTGTCAATTCTTACTCTCCCAAGCCATGGATGGCCCACGCTTGCTGATTTGTGAATGGCATCAACACCTTGAACACATTTAGATGGTATAGCCTTTGGGACGCGACCCAGAGATAAAACATGTATAGTATAAGGATTCTGGGTGGCATGTGCAAACCATTACTCAATGTGTTATCTATTTGGGACTCAATGCTGCTGACTCAACCAGACCAAACAAGACAGGGGGTACCGTTGAGAGGGCAACAGACATAGAGTCGAGACAGGAACAGGAGGAGGGACACAAACGTCAAGTGGTAGTAACCCACTATCTACTATACACGAACACAACAACGCCGCATCAACACAACAAACAAGCACAGCAAATCAACTGACATGTCAAGTCATAGAATGTCAACTGACATCATTGCATCACAAAAATAAAATGAAATGAACTAAGCTACTAGACTTAGTCTAGAAATAAACTTGATCACTCGACGAGCTGGATCCTTGCAACTGAAATGGAATCCGCCGCACACTTTGCTCATGGTTTTCCCCGCCCAGGCTGCCAGTCAGTCAGCTAGCTGTTGCCTTGCACATTGTGGGAGTATCAGCTACTCGTGAGCTTTCTTTGACACAGGGGTACATCGAGGCATAAAATTAACATCATCTAGTAGCAACACTTCGCCAAACTTAGCCTCAATCTCAGCAACGGTGCGCTGCTCACACTCACAATCTTTCGCGATCACTCTGAGGTTCAAGGAATCTGTCCTGCATTCGTTTTGATGCACTTTGACTGCGCAATAAAGCGCACAAAAACAAAGTAAATACAGCAGCGGGTTGTGGCTTGACTCCTGCAAAGCCAAGGCTTCACATAACCCATGTAGCAGCTGAGGCAAATGCGTTCACAAGCCACCATTTCTAGAAAATACTGGGTCCTCTCTCGGGACATTAATATCGACAGGCCAGTCCGAATCTCACAGATTTAAAGCGAATGGCCAACTGCTTTGAACCAAGTGCGGGGCGCAATTCGACCCAAATCAAAGCGACTTTCATTTCATGCTGAGCTACTTAGTTCTGATCCAAAGCAAGGACACAGCTGCCACACTATCGGTCGCTCAAGGCACACCTTTTCCAGTTCAGCCCTGAAGTCTTAAGTGCGCACACAAATGTCTGTCAGCCAGAAGCTGTCACGGCCACTGAACCAAATTTTTACTGATTGACATCCGTTGCAATCAACGGCTGCTCTTCAAAACTTGAAAGTGGCTTCTAGTCATCTAGTCAACATCCTCAGCCACCTGAGAGTCTGCAGGGGCTTCGACAATTTCATCCACAGCTCCTTCCTCCTCCTCTCCTCCCTCCTTGGTGCCGTCCTCAACTGAGACATCAGGAACTTCGACCTCAACCTCGGCGTCCTCAAAGCCAGTGGCACTGGAGCGCTCAGGTGCTTGCTCAGCAGCAGCAGCAGTGATCTCCGCTGGTGGCTGATTCTGATGTAGGTCTCTGAGATCGTGGCCTCCACCCAAAAAGCAAATCAAAATTAATTAATTGCTGACCCAGCCCATGTTGGAATGAATTGCACTGGCATTGATTCAGAATGAGCCTGCAACGAGCTGATTCTGCATTGTGGCCTCAAATTTGGACAATAAAGAACATGGAACTAACAAGTCACGAAACACGCTGCTGAGCAGGCAAAACTGAGAAGTTGGCCACAACGTCTCGGACAAAATGATCACTCTTGCCCAACATCAGGTACTTGCGGCCAATGGCCTCAACCACAGAACAGCATCAATAAGATTTCAGTCTTAAGTTGAACGGGACATCATCATGCCAGAGGAATGTCACTGAGGCCAAGTCAGCAATCTCTTTGGCCTTGTCAGAATTCACATGGTTGCCACCCACCTGGCGCATCAGAAAAGAAATTGGAAACTGGATCGAACATGACTGAAATCAAATGCGCTTCCAAACCAGACTGAGAAACAATGTTTGACTGATGATGGTTTGCCTGAAAGATCTGCTTTCCATCGCGCTTGACAGCAAATTTCCCTGTGGATTTGTAGAGGTAGATACAGCTCACCTTCGGCTGCTTGCTGCATGACGGGGCACCATCAGGAGCATCACCTGGTTCATCACCGGGGTTGCTGCCGTCATCTCCTGCAACAGCAGCAGCTGGGCGCTTGAGCACAGCAGCAAGACCAGAATCATCACCTGGTTCAACACCTCCATCACTGTCCTCACCAAGCGCAGCGGTAGTGCCTGGCTCAACTCTGCCATCAGAATCTCCTCCAAGAGCCACAGCTGGGCGCTTGCGTACGCAAGCAGCCGGCTTCTTCATCTTCGACCCTGTCTGAAGAACGGACTTAGACTTAGTAGCCTTCTGTGGGCCAGGATTCGGCTTGCTCGGGCTGCTCTTGGCTTTCACAGAAGCCGCAGGACTCTTCGGTTTGGCCTTGGCCTTGCTTTTTTGCATCGGGGGGGCATCCTGATCTGATTCACTCAAAGTCTCCACGTTGGCAAAAACAGCCATGCTCATGGTCCGGAACCGGGAAGCGATCAAAATAAATCAGAGCTGAAATACCTGCAGTCATGATGATGGTGGCCTGACAGAGCACAACCTCCCAAGATGATGACTGACGAATACGAAGTGAACACCAAGCTGGCCATTCTCTCGGAAAAAAACTATGGTGAATGCAATAGTTATATTATGATATGCATGAACTGAACTGGAAGAATTGGGCTACTGTACATGAACTGTGGGATGTGTTTTCAACCACTCCCGAACTGCCAGCGGTTCAAGGTCACGCTTCTAAGGAAGATTCTAAGAAGGCTATCACATCTCACAGCCACTCACAGCTTGGTCCATGTGTTCGGCGGGAGGACCATCCCAGCTGTGAGGTAGAGCTTCGGTTTGACCCCAATGATCTTTGGGTTGGCAGCTCCCGTTTGCACATCTACCTTGGGTTTCACAAATAATAAAATTTGACTTGAACAGAACATTGCCAACAGAAACAAACATGTATAGACTAACTAAGTAAGCATGTAAGACTTGACACACGGCATGGATTTAATTTGTCTCATAGGCACTTCCCAAAGGACCTGTGCATCAGGCCCACGCGGCAACTTGTCCATATGGCCACAAAATGCAGCCCCGATCGTAGCATGCCTGACAATGGACGTAAGGACCTAATAATATAATGGGCTGCAAGTTTGAAGCAGCATCTGACCATCAACTCGGATTGAATTGCAGGCTTGCAAAATATGATACCACATTGATCCCGAGCCTCAAGTTCGCATCGCCCGGGCCAAGCAAGTTTGGCATGAAAACATTGCAGAGACCGTTCCTGGCAGCTGTCAACGTGTACCGATATGGCACAGGAACTTGCTCTGCATCGGCATTCTCCTGCCAGAGGGGTGGCCAAAAAAGGGAACAGGAATCCAGGAAAGGGGAAAATCATCTGACAATCTTGAATCACACAGAAACACAAACAGACACACACAGAGTGTCCGTCTGGTCCCGAATCACCCCCAAAAAAAAAGCCCGGTCCGTCGGGTACATCTTGGGAATGAGCTGGTGGTTGGCAAACTCAAATTCTGCCACTCCATGTACTGTGCAGCAATGGTGAAGGAAATCTGAGATGCAGTAAATCTTCCTCTCGTGCGAAATCAAAGAAAGGTCCGAATTAAAACGGAAGCAGATCCCATCCAGCTCGGATTCGCCCAGTCCTGCCATGGCATCATGTCCATTCAAGGACGACCAAAACTCGTGTTTTTCCTGAAAATGTTAGTGACCTGGCCGGCCTGCAATGGCCTTCTGCTGAAACGAGCCAGTGTTGAAGCCACAAAGCTCCGAAGCAACGAGCTGCATCTCTTGGTCGCTTTCATTCCCCACATACAAGCCAAAGTCGGTGCTGATGACCAAAGCTGGCTTGCCGCGGGAAGCAGGACAGTACGCTTTCCTACAGGGCACAAGGACTGGCTGACATGATAATATTTTCAAAAATGAAGGGCTATATTCTAACAAACATACCCATTTAACCACCTACTATTCTTACAAACATACCCATTTAACCACCTACTATTTTTACAACACTTTAACCACCTACTATTTTTGGAACTTGAATATTTTCTCCTTGCCACATCGAAGGCGCTTTGCGCAATGTGCTCTTTCTCAATGATCCTCGCGGTGTCAAGTGGCAGAACACCGCCATCGATCCCAAAGTCTGGACGGCCAGCTGCCCTTGCTGGCGCGGCTCTTGAAGTGCTTGTCTCAGATCGCTGACTTGAACGCCGTCCTGCATCCGGAAACGCTTGGACAAGTTCTTTCTTCATGGCAAGGACATCGGCATGAGCATTTGACCCTTCAGAAAACTTCTGCAGCAGGTTCTCAGGGAACACAGGGGCACCACTGTTCCAACCCAACAGCTCCAGCGAGGGCTCCGAAATTGGCTCAGTTGGCCGCCGGGCTGGAGGCGCAGATTCTGAAGAATCCCAATGCTTGTACACCTCCTCCTCCAAGGCCGCAGCAACATCTCGCTGGTCCTCCCGAAGGCAGCCAATGTAGTACAGCGGTGGGCGCCGAATTGTATTGTCCAGGAGGCGGTCCAGCACTGCATGTCCAAACTCACCATACCTGCAAGAAGGCAAAAAGCCATGTCCAGGCATATGACCACTTGAAACATTTTTCAAATCCCAACACAAAACCAAATAAAACATATCATAGGGGAAGGAGAGTTAAAGGTTTGCTACAGGTATGACTTCAACCCTATTTTGTCTTAATTTGATCAGAAGAAATCCGGCCTGTTCGCCAAACAATCAGCAAAGATTGCCACGTCACCATCTTGCCAGTCAATCCCACGCAGGTAGGAGGCGATGACCTCCGAATGAGCTTGCACGCCCTTCCTGCCATTGTTTATTCACGATCCATGGCAAACAATAGAGAGAGAGAGAGAGACCTGAGAGAGCTAAGCTCTCAAAAAAGGGAACATCTTAAGAGCTCAATGGTTTGCTGAGACAATGTGCTGACATCAACCTCTCAATGCCAATGGAGTTCTAAGTTCCGAAAGCTTGCAATTGAATGCTACAAGTAAAATAATAGGCATTAAAAATTACAAATTATAATGAAGAAATTAACAGCCATGAACAGCCGGGCCACTGTTCAGTTCGTGCTGCAGCACCAAATCTGTTGTCTGGGTCAAAGCCTTGCATGTCAGAGACACGAATGAGCTGACAAGGCCCAATCACACATTTCGAAACCGCAGCGGCGCCCAACCAAGCGTTGGCCTGCTGATGGTCAAGGGCTGTAACGAAGAGGCATGGGTGATTCACACACCTCTTGTCATTCGCATGGCTCGATGACTTGTCAAAGGTCAAGGCCACTCCTGTGGTGATGTCCATCCTCCCCTTCTTCAGTGCGTCCTCCAACGTACGCCTGTGTTTGATCCATGCATCAGTGGTTGTCTGTGACTGCATCACCGGAAGCTGACAATGGCCGGCATTGTTCGGAGACATTTGAAGGACATTGACCAGGGTTGCTATGCAGTTGCTCACATAAGCAGAATTGGGAGGCCAAACGCAGGTATCCAAACTGCACAGCACAAACCTCGGTGTGGAATGAGCAGGGTGACGGAACATCAGAATCACTTGGTGTGCTAATATTATGTCAGGGTAAAATAGTTAGTGTTAGGGTTATAAGGTTTATCAGAAACATATGTCAAAGGGTAAAACTTAACAGAGCCTGGCCTGCAGGGGCGCATGCATGTAAAATTGAAACAGTGTTGGAATTATAGGTCGGAGAGATATGGCAAGATTATGTCAGGTTAAAACCATAATGATGTCAACACACAATCAGAAGGACAAGTAACACCCGGGAAACTCCCTCCTTCGACGTCCACTTTGAAATGAAGCTAGCGATCTCCGCAAAGTGGTTGCCAGCTGCATTGGGATCCTGCGTCTTGGGGAAGATCAGCTTGCACTTCCAGTCCATGAAGTCCTTTGTGTAGTCCTGTCCCTTCCTTGGTGCACAGCCCAGCTGGCCAAAAAACATTGTGAAAATTGTGCCATCATTCCAAGTCCAAAAATGAAACGATTCATGCAAAAAGTGAATGTATGTGGCCATGGCTCTTCTGTCGCTCAGACAAATATTTCTTGTCAAGGGCAGCTTCTCGGGCAACTTGTGTTTGACCAGGAACCCTCGCAGACAAGACAGCCATGTCCTTTGCGAAAGTGTGCCTCAAATGTTCGACAGTAGCTTGGCTCACTTTCTCTGCAAGTTCTCGCTCAGTCTGCTGGGCCTCACGCAGCTTCCGCTGCTCAACAGTTGTGATCATACTCCTGGCCGCACCAAGTTCAAACATAGCTGTGATCAACAATCGTGTTGGCACACCTCTTGTTTAAATCAGGTATGGGAAAAAAGCACAACAGGGGTGGGAAACATTGTGCCGCCCTGAACCTATGTTCAATCCCAGCCGGGCCCGCTGCTGCTCCTGATGAAAGGCACCTGCTCCAAGGAAATTGGAGGGACAGTTGTTTCCAAGAAGGTGACGATGTCCCCATCCAGGATGCCAAGTCTGAACTGCTCCACGAGTCCTGGCAAAGCCTCCCGGAAGTCCTTCTGCGGCACTGACTGTTTGAGCTGCTCGATGATGGCGTTGAAGCCACCACATGCTGCGTGCACACTCCAAGCATCACGGTACAGCCACGCTTTTTTCAAGCTTGCACGATCCCAATCCCCTTCCAAACGCTCCAGAAAGAGCTCGGCCTTAAGTCGGAAGACTGTGAAACTCTTGGCATCTTTTTTTGACATGGCAACACAGCAACACGTTGGAGGAATCAAACTATAAAAACTGAAAGGCATGCTGAAACCCTGATCGGGAAACAAGCTGGTTGTCCTCAAGGTTCGTGAGCTCCCCTTGCCATGGAATCAAAGCGCCCGACTTTCCTGAACTCCACCCGACATTGAACATTTCACCCGCCAACAAGTCATGCGTCAGCCACTGTCGCATGCCACGGGTGCGCACACTCTCACGAAGCTTTGCCACCATGTCCTTCTGAATGCAAGTCTGAAGGTGACACACCGACTTGGATTCCTTCTCTCCAATTTGAAAAGCTCGTGCGACTGCTGTGGCGTTGTGCCAGTCCTTGGATTTTGATCTCAAACATACATGTAATTTAATTGTTCTGCAATGTCATATGCTACCTTTGTTCTCCCCTTATGCTTTTGACTGGAAGCCTCAGGCGGGCGTCAGGCCCAAGACATGAATTGAATGCGCATGAAAAAAAAAATAGGAGACGATCGGCTGTGAAGTCTGACTCCTCGCCGCTCTTCTTCAGTATCTCCAGTTGCCGAATAAAATTCATGGCGTTTGGTGGACGACGTGTTGCTGTAGAACTCATGGTGATTCCTGACAGTCACCCATGAGGTTTCCCCACAGAAAGTATTTCACAGGGAGGAAGCATTTCGTGGTTTTTTCGCCACACGAAAAACGATGGAGTACGTTAGCTATGATCATGTGAAAATCCTTTTTGAACCGACCCGCCCACATCTCACGTTTTTTTCACGAGAACCGCTCCATGGGTAAACATTGCTAATGAAGCAGTAAATGGTTAAAAGCTGACAGATTGACTGACCACAGCTTTTGGGTTGGAATGAATACAAACAGCCATTGATTTGATATACCTGCTACAACCATGATGTTTCCAACGGAAGCAAAAATTACTTTCTTCGAGTGCCCCCACCAACTGGCAGTCTATCTCACTCACTCTCACATTCTTTCTGGGCTCCTTTAATGGCATTCTCTATCCGTCAAATATTCTGTCATTCTATCTGGCCTTCCACTTCTATCTTGTCGACATACATTTGGCATTCTATCTGACATTATCTGGCATTCATTCTTTCGGCATTCTATCTGACATTTTATCTAGCATTCTGTCCAACGTTTGCTCTCTCAGTCTGGCACATGAGCTGGCATTCTACCTGACATTCGTTCTGACATTCTACCTGGCATTCTTTCTGGCAACTTAAAGTTATCTGACATATTCTACGTCGGTTATACTTTGACTATGTTTCTGGCATTCTTTCTGTCATTTAGAATTCAGACATTATATCCGCGCGTGCCCAGCCTGAGCCCAAGCTCCCTATGGTAGCATTTTTTTCCCTCTTAAAACCCCTTTTGCAATCCCAAGCCAAAAATGAAAAGAACAATTCGTGCCCAAACTGCCACTGACTGTGGATGCCCAGAGGACAACAGAGGAACAAGGACGGAGGAGGGGCTACAGGCTGATTTTCACCTGACACGTGAGGGTCTGTATATCTACTATGTTTCCTAATATCTGATTTGCACCACTCTACACTTGGAAGTGCTTCGAACCAAATACTGAATAACGCTCAAAACAATTTGTATTAAGAGTAAAAATAACTGTGGGCAGCCCACGACATAAAACAATGGCATGAGGGTGGCAATTGCTAGTTGCGGGGATCTTCCTCAAGATCAGGAGACTGAGGTCGATATAGATTATGATGACCTTGGGACAGATGATTTTGATGACCTTTGCCAAAAAATGGCCACGACACGCAAAGATGACAACGACCACGACGACGACTACGACAACTACGACGACGACGACGACGAGGACGAGGACGACGACGACGACGGCGGCGGCGGCGACGACGACTACGATGACGACGACGGTGACCAGCATGATCATGGAAACAAGCATGCTGGTGAAAATGGTGACTACTATGATGATGACATGATGACATGATGACATGATGACATGATGACATGATGATGATGATGATGGTGATGATGATGGTGATGGTGATGGTGATGATGATGGTGATGATTCAGTGATGATAATGATTATGGTGATGATGATGATGATGTTGATGTTGATGATGATGATGATGGTGACAACTACGACACTACGATGACAGGGACAAGGATGAAAACAACAACAGTGATTGTCATGGTGAGGCGATGTAAAGCGATGATGGTGGCGAGGACGAGAAGGAGGAGGAGGAGGAGGAGGAGGAGGAGGAGGAGCAGGAGCAGGAGCAGGAGGATGATGGTGACGATGGCAGCAATCAATCAGATTGACTGATGTAACAAGCATGACAGTTATGATGCTGAATATGATGAAGATGAAGAAGAAGAAGATGATGATGATGATGATGATGATCATGATGCTGATAATGATGGTGATGATGAGGATGATGGTGATGATGATGGTGGTGATGATGGTGATGATGATGATGATAATGATGATGATGATGATGGTGATGGTGATGATGGTGATGATGGTGGTCTTGATGCTATAGCGGTGCTGATGATGGTGATGATGATGGTGATGATGATTATTATTATGATGGTGATGATGATGGTGATGATGATGATGGCACTCATGATGACGAAGACGATCGTGATGACAATGATTCTGATGATAACGATGATGATGATGATGATGAAGAAGAAGAAGAAAAAGAGATGATGGTGATGATGATGCATCCCCCCACACCCCGAAACGAGAGACGACCAAACGACTGCATGACCGCATGTGAGCACTCATTATGGAAAAGAGCAGCAACACTACTAGACAGTAGCTGGGGCCATTTTTCACAATGAACCCATCTGGGAATCACAGCTTCAGGCTACAGGCCAAAAGCAACAACCTAAAATTCCTGGCTAGAAACAATCAATGATTTTGACTTGCGGCTGTAGCTTAATGGAATGCAGCAAAAGGAAAAAACAGAGGCTGAGAATTTGGTCCAGGACTCCACGGCTTGCCCAAATAGCCTCTTTGGATGTGGAATATCTCCCCACAGCTCCATGAACAACACGAAGCGACGCCTATCCGGCGAGGGCAAAATTTTTTTTGTTCCTGGAAGGTTCGCCACATTCAATTTCATTCCTCTATGCCTAAACCTTAAGACAAACTTTGCCTAATCAGGGCGAACCCATTGACATCCAAAGTCAAACCCTTTGTCCTTGAAGTTGTCGGTCAACTCCGCAAGCTCGACCCCCAAGCTTCTCACCCCCTCCAAGCAAATCAACATGGCAAGGCTTCGTCTCCACCCTTTGATGAAGCCAACGGACCAGGGCGGCAAGATGCCTGATTCCAGATCTTTCAGGCAACATCCGACTTCATTGTGCGCTCAATCAAATTTGATTGGCAAGCATGAAGCAGTAATTTGACTGCAGAACCGAAAGCTATTTGATATGATTCCCAACAGGAAGCCCGCACCTTCCACAAGCGGGGCAAGCTCTTTGTAGGGAGTCTCCAGCCAAGCCTTGTTGGGGACGGTCACACTCAGCTTTTCCACTCCTCCTTCATTGGCATCTGTCCTGAACCTGAAGATTTGCTGTGACAAATCACAGCTGCCGGCATCTCAAAACAGGGTTCATTAAATCTGAAGCCTGTCACGTGCTCAAAATACACGATGCCTCTATTCACAGCCACGAAACCCTTGAGTCAAGATTAGCTCCATCAAAGTACACATGTCGAAGGGATCTGCCATTGATGCCAATCCAAAGTCTGAACGAAAGGACAACTGCCAGGGTCGCAAGTATTTCGGCCCGACGCTCATGTCAGGACTGTATTCGATCCTGCACCAACGCGACTGCTACAAACAGTGACTTGAAGTCACTTCAATTTGATGTGTCACTGCATATGTTTGAATCAGAATATATCTTAAAAGCATCCGGCCTTCCACTGGCTGGGAAGCATGTGTCGATCCAAGATGCAAAATCCATAAGCTCTTCCTGTCAACACCAGCTACAAAAAAACTGCACAGCATTGCAGTGTCAACATCGAATTCAAAATTCTTGCGCACAGGTCGCAATCCTTGGTTCTGTACTTCTTCATCAAATATTGATCGGCCCCTCCCTGTGGCACGACAATTGTCATGAACCTGGGCCATAACAGTCAATGGAAAGGATTGGAAAGGTATGTCAATGTTCTATCTACATCTATTTGACTCGTTTGACTGCGAAAAAAAAAATCAGACGAACAGCCACTCGCAAATGCGGCGAACGTGGGCCACCTTCGGGTCATCAAGACTCTCCTTGGAATTGCTTTTGGCAACTCTTTTGGCTGCACGCCCGCCACCTGACGCTGTTGATCCTGTTGATAGACGTTTCGGCATGGCTGCCGCCAAAGGCAAGTGAAATCTTCCCCAGTCACGGGGCTAGAGCAAAAATGATAATGGAAAATCAGTGACGGGTTTTGTTGACATAGAAAGTCCACATCAAGCTCCCCAGAACTCGCAGCCACACTGGATTAAAGCTGCTTTTTCTGCGGCAAGTTCAATTATCCCTGCTCCTTCACTCCTTCGAAGATTGGCCATGGGCTGGCCTGCAGCAACAAATCAATGACAACGCATAACAAATCTAATCTTATGTCAACGATAGCCTAGCAAAAAGTGATGCAAATGAGCTCCCTACAGTCATTCGTAATTCTCAAGATGTGGTTCATGTGGTTTAAGTATTCCTCAAATGGGATTGCAACTTTCCAGTGGCCTGGCCACTGGCTGAAACTTATGTGGCATTAATAAGCATGCCAAGGCATATGGAGAAATCTCATGTTGCATTGTGAGATTTTTGCGGAACCACAGGGCACCAGAGTGTCCCCTACATCGTGGAATGCTTGGTGGACAGTCTTGCAGTGTTGCTTATACTGACAATGCAACATCATTGAAAGACTGAGCTTCCACCTTCAGGGGCCCATGATGAGCTTGGAAAGTTGATGGCTTCCACCTCCAGTGCCGAGGGCAGCTGACTTTTTGAAGAATGACAAGGCGGGAGACACGATGAGCAGAGCAGAAAAAAAAACTTGTGGGCAAGCGTTTGCCACTGCCGTTCTCTCCTGAATGCTGTCAGCAAGGCTTGGTAGACTCGCAGCCTCACCATCGCAGACTCAAGTCAAAAAGCAAGACTCAAGTCAAAAGCAAGTCTCGCATTCAAAGCCACAAAAGGCACAATTCAGCTGCAAAATAAGCTTCTGGCTGCAGCCAGAACACAGCCTGGAAGTGAAATTTCAATGGGCACGGATCGGATTCAACTCGTGCACTTAAAGGGACGGCGACAGAAAATCAAAATTGAAGGCAGCGAAAAAAAACATAAAACCCATTGAACTATGCACCTTGCCACACAGGCTGAGTTCAAGACTGGGCCGCATCCAGGCCGAAACAATCCTGCTGGTAGTTAAAGGTCTTTAAAAAGCAATAGCCAGTTATTTCAAAAGTCTTTGGGCTTCAGAATGACTGGGTTCCTGGCCTGGTTCTCATATTCAAAGCGGCCTGCCAATCAAATTGTGAAAGCACTCCGCGGCTGCAACACAGGCCCGGATGTGTGACTGATTTGACCCGGGATTGGTCACAAAACATTGGGTCAACATCCCGAAGGATAACCAAAATCACAGCACACAACAGTGTAGCCAGGAACAGGCATCCCCTAAAGTGAATTGCCGCAGGTTAAAAAATCAACTGTCAACCCTAAGGCCACGATTTGTGACTGATTTGACCCAGGATTGGTCACAAAACATTCGGTCAACATCCCAAAGGATAACCTAAATCATCATCCACGGTGATGAAGCTAAGAACGGATGACCCCTAAAGTGAATTGCCGCAGGCAAAAAAATCCACTGTCAACCCTAGGGCCATGATTTTGTGACTGATTTGACCCGGGATTGGTCACAAAACATTGGGTCAACATCCCGAAGGATAACCAAAATCACAGCACACAACAATGTAGCCAGGAACAGGCATCCCCTAAAGTGAATTGCCGCAGGTTAAAAAATCAACTGTCAACCCCGAGGCGACGATTTGTGACTGATTTGACCTGGGATTGGTCACAAAACATTGGGTCAACATCCCAAAGGATAACAAAAATCTCAGCACACAACAATGTAGCCAGGAACGGACAACCCCTAAAGTGAATTGCCGCAGGTTAAAAAATCAACTATCAACCCTAAGGCCATGATTTGTGACTGATTTGACCCGGGATTGGTCACAAAACATTCGGTCAACATCCCAAAGGATAACCTAAATCATCATCCACGGTGATGAAGCTAAGAACGGATGACCCCTAAAGTGAATTGCCGCAGGTTAAAAAATCAACTATCAACCCTAAGGCCATGATTTGTGACTGATTTGACCCAGGATTGGTCACAAAACATTCGGTCAACATCCCAAAGGATAACCTAAATCATCATCCACGGTGATGAAGCTAAGAACGGGTGACCCCCAAAGTGGATTGCCGCAGGCAAAAACTATGTCAACCTTGGGGATCAGTTTTATTATGATTGATACCCACAGCATGAATCCATTGAAACCTTATCAGATACAGCCTAACTTACCCATTGCAAAACAGTCACCCCTGGGAGTCAAATATTTGTAAATATTTGTAACCAGCTTAACTTTGGCCCTTGGAAAGCGTCACAACCAATAAGCACTGCCAACCTTGGAATTTGTGACGGATCCGAGGTCGGATCAGTCACAAATGATAGGGCTGGTCCATCTGACTGACTCCCATTTTTTTTGCTGGGTTTGGCCCCTTAGTTTATCAATCATGATTTGTGACTGATCCGACCTCGGATCCGTCACAAATGGCACCTTGTCTCTACATCGGGATTTGTGACCCTGAAATTTTTGACAAACAAACTGGTGTGACGGATTTGAGTCAGGATCCGTCACACAAGTTCTGAAGTCAAAACTTGGTGTGACGGATTTGAGTCAGGATCCGTCACACAAGTTCTGAAGTCAAAACTTGGTGTGACGGATTCGAGTCAGGATCCGTCACACAAGTTGTGGAAGCAAAACTGGGTGTGACGGATTTGAGTCAGGATCCGTCACACAAGTTCTGAAGTCAAAACTTGGTGTGACGGATTTGAGTCAGGATCCGTCACACAAGTTCTGAAGTCAAAACTTGGTGTGACGGATTTGAGTCAGGATCCGTCACACAAGTTGTGGAAGCAAAACTGGGTGTGACGGATTTGAGTCAGGATCCGTCACACAAGTTCTGAAGTCAAAACTTGGTGTGACGGATTTGAGTCAGGATCCGTCACACAAGTTCTGAAGTCAAGACTGGGTGTGACGGATTTGAGTCAGGATCCGTCACACAAGTTCTGAAGTCAAAACTGGGTGTGACGGATTTGAGTCAGGATCCGTCACACAAGTTCTGAAGTCAAAACTTGTGTGACGGATTTGAGTCAGGATCCGTCCCACCTGTTTCGAAGTCAAAGCCAAGTGTGACGGATTTGGCATGAATCTGTCATAAAAAGTTGGGAAGCCAACACCGCCTGGGTAAATGTGCCTTTGAAACCTTTTGGACTCAAGCAAAAACTCTAAATTTGTTGGGAGATTCTGGAAGAATAGGTGTGGAGCAATCCCATAGTGGTACTCTGGGTAGATACCATCCAATCCTTGTGTTTTGGGGAAATAGCACCCATGATTCAATCCCAGCGTTTGGGGAAATAGCACCCATCGGACTGTTGGGGGGAACAATATATTTAAATCCAATCCTGGTCTTTTGGGGCTTGTCAGCTAGAACAGTAATCCCTATGACGAACTAACCATTATAATCTGTCAACATCAAATAGCATTTTGCCCAAATTTTGTTTCCTGGTGCTTGCGGCACAGGGCATGCCTGGTAGAATTAGGTGCTGGCCCAGCCTTGTCTCTTAGCGAATCATTGGGAACATGATTTGAAAATAATGAGCGTTGAAAAAAGTCTTTCGGATTTGGAAATGTCTTGAAGCAAACATAATGTGATTTTGCAAACATCAGCTTGCTGGAAGACAAGTCACCCACGCTGCGCACGCCGTTTTGGCGCAGCAGCCCCTTTGGGAACGGGTTTTGCTTTGGGATTCGCAGCCTTCACTGCTCTTGTGCACACTTGTATTGCAGTACCCCATGGCACACCATTTGCCCATGCTTCTGCAGCAGCTTCTATCGCAATGCGCTTTCTGGCGGAAGCAACGTAATGTGTGATCTGGTTTCTGGCCTCCTTCCCATCGTGTTTTCCCAGCCTTGGGTGAAACTGGATTTCAAAAACAATTTCATCAAAGGTGCTGCTGGCCCAATCTAGCCTAGCCTAATCTGGAAACACAGCAAACCACAATCGAAGTGACGAGCCACGCAAGATGTCCAGGAACTGGCTCAAAACTCTGCGGCCGCCCCACCAAGGAATAAGTTCCACCGGTCGACTTGATGGCACACCTCATTTTGTCAGTTCAAGACGTTGACTTCATGACGTTAAAACGCAAAGACATGCACACTCACACACTACTTCAAAAGGTGCAAATTGCAAAAGCAAAACTTTGTAAATTAAAGCTGCCATGAAACGCAGAAACGTCCGCCAAAGGTTCCAGAGGCAAAGTTCCCTGAACCCATTGCTCCAAGTGGTCAGCAGCTGAATCCATCCCGTACTGTCGTAATACTGGAAGGTACTTATTGAGCACATCCTTCTTCAGATCAGTGGACACTGGATTCTTTGGGGCCACGCCTCCAGCCGATGGCCGGAACTAGCCATATGTTTTGGGTCTCAAACTGCCTAACAAGTTCCCTATTTTGAATCTGATAACATTGAAACATCCCAATATATCCCAATGGTTGTCTCATCTCAATAAACTAATTTGGGGAATGCTTGCTAAAGCTTTGAAAATTATCATGAAGGTGAGGAACTTTGCAGATTTCCAAACAGCATAATTTTTGTGGAAAAACTTAGGACTTAGGTCCGGTCCAATATCATAGGGGAGCGTCACCTGTATTGTGCACCTTGAGGAAAACAGAATGGTTTCTTTGGAAAAGGGTTCCCCGAAAAATGGCGGCTTAAAAATACCTGCCGCGCATGGTACCAGTATCAGAAGAGAATTTGGGACATTCTATTCATCTCGCGCATTTTTGGGATGGATAGTTCAACAATAATCTGACCAATAACCGCATCTTGTTCTTGCCAAACAGCATGCCAAAAAGACTTAAAATTTGCCCAAGCCTGCTGGAAGCCCAAGGGGCAAGCGCACACGAGCCACCTCATATGGGTAGTACACCAGGTTGAAGGTGTAGTCAGAGTCTGCCATGTTGCGTTTGGTCCTCAGCTGGGCCAAAAACGGAGCTCTATAGTAAGCAAAACAGAAATTGTGCACAGTCAAAGCAAAACTTGTCCTTCAACAGCAAATGTCATGATCAAATAATCCCTGATTCCCTGAAACAACAGACTCCTGCAAAGCCGAAGCTGCTGGAGAATCACATCATTTGGGTGAGGCGCCAGCTTCCAGAAAGGGTCTGCTGAACTCTGCGTCACATTAGATCCTTGCATTCAGAAATAGGCTGGAGTCTGGAGCTTATAAAATGGCTTAGCGCCCATCCCTCAAAAGAGTGTGACTGGCTGGAATTCACACAATGACTCGCAATGAAATAGTCTCAGGCTGACCGGAAATCACAACGCGACTGGGTCCTAGTAATCAAAAAATACCAGACCACCAGTTCAAGGCCAAACAATCACAAAAAGTTGCTGTGGACATTGTATCATTGAATTCCGAGCATCCCAAATTCCCACGTCGGTCCAGCTCAAATACATGGGGGGCCCGTGGGCCCCCGGTCCCTTTTAAGAAAACCGGCACCCCAGCAGTGAGGAAGCCTCGCCTGAGCAATTCTGTTTGCAAGTCAGTTTCTGGTTGCCAGGCAAACATGATGATCGCTCGATGATCTTTTCCGTATGTTAATTATCTTCTATCTACATTGCGTTGACAAGCGCATCTGCATCGGTACATGTTTGTATTTTCAAACCACATAACGCACACCCTGTTTGCACACTGCATCTACATGTCTTTTAACCAAAATCAAATGCTTGCACACATTGAATTTAGCAGCCTATCCTGACATGAGCAATTGCAGCTGGAGCATCCCGCAATTTGAGCCGAGCATCCAGTCTCTGCACTGGTCCATCAGGATGCATTGGCGAAAAGGTTCATGGGGGCGATCCAACTTCGTGTCCAGCCAAGTCTGGATGATCTGCTGAAACTCCCGGGGGCTGGCAGCTGTGCGAGCGGATCGTGCGATGTGGCTGGCAAGTCGTCCAAAACTTTGATCAAGATCTTCATGGGAGTGCCCGCTCCGCAAATTGCGGAGACGGGCACCCCCAATCACACCTGAATCTGCCGTGGCAATTTTTGGGAAAAGCAAGGGCTGCTCCTTTAAGAGTCCTCTTTTTTTCTGTAATCTCAAAAACAAGATTACTGGGCTCACCTCAAGCAAAGCCAGGGGTCCATGGCATACAAGGCTGCTCAAGAATCTCATGCAGTGGTTATTTTTTACCTCCCGGGAGGTGTTGTCGCTTTGTATGTGAAGCGTCAACTTCTGCAAATCCATCTGTTTCGAGAGCTGGGTCAAACAAACTGCAATCAATTCGATGCTGGCATTTGCATCTTTCCTCACATCTGCAGGGCTGACGCTGAAGACTAGCCCTCTTCCGTGCATCAGCGCGGCTGCTATGTGAGCCCTTGGACGAACAAAAGAAGCCAGATCTTTGCTCCTGAATAGTTCGCCTCTTGGGTAAGCGAATTTCGCCTGGTCAACGCCATCTATCATGATCACCACCTCTAACGTGTTTCGGAGACGACTTTGGGCCCTTAGGTCCCAGTAAACGACTCGGTCTTTATACTGGGACCTAAGGTGCGCAATGTAGTGATCCAACTGACACTGTCTGGCCTTGAGGTGTCCAGCGAATCCTTTGATCAGCAATTTGTGCTTCACGCAGGTTGCACACATCGCATGGTTCGAAACCGGACGAAACTGTAAGATCGATCCAAATTCTTGGTACCAGATGCGCCAGAACGAACTGAAGGCGACCGACTTGGTCTGTCCACCATCACTTCCAGCTTCGGTTGCAAGGAATTGTTCATAGTACTCTCTGATGTGGCCTGGGGGAAGCCAGCGTTTCTCATATCCGTTTTCTGGGTGCCGGTGAACGTTCACTTGAAGCCCCAACCGTTGAGCTCGAACACCTTTGCTCTTGGGTTTCAGCCTGAGTCGAATCTGTGGGTCAGCAATGGCCTGAGCGTATGGATCAAGGTCTGCCTGTGGTAGTTGCAGCACTTTGTCAGTGGCTGCATCCACATCATCAAAACCCTCATCACGGACATCAGGAAGCGTCTCAGCAACACTTTCATAAATGCCACGAAGAAATGCGACAACCCTTCCACGCGTCTCATCTGCCCCAGAACTGCCCCGCTTCGGAACACCTTTCTGAAGATACCGCAAATCCACGGGTGCAACCACTTCACCCCTCCGAGCTGGTGCTATCAGGCGGCCAAAGCGGCCAGATCCTCGATGTCTCATTATTTTGTGTCAGCCCAAATTTGGGGGAAAACATGTTGCCTTCTTTGAGTGACCGCCACCAAGTGGCATTCTATCCGGCATTCTTTCTGACGTTGTTTCTGGCATTCTATTATCCGACATATATTCTGTCATTCTATCTGAGATATATTATTGCGGGCGGCGCTCTATCTGATACATTGGCATATTCTGTCTAGAATTTCTTTGACGTATATTATATCTATAATATAATATAGACACTGTTCATCTGACATATATTCGGACATTCTATCTTATCTGGTATTCTATTTGACATACATGTGGGCATTCTATCTGGCATTATTTTTTGGCATTATGTCTGACATATATGAATGGGGATGTCTCAAATTAGGCAGCCCCAAATTTGGGTACCCAAAACACGTTTCTTTTTTTATCGCGCTCAGAAGATATCCATTTTAGACCCAAAAATGGCCGCGCTCAACCCCCACAAAAAGCCTCCACCAAGAGAAAGTGAGCAAAAAGAGAGGAAAAACAAAAAACGGCCATACATTGTACTGAAAAGGAGAAAACACCCCATGTATGCCCATTTTTCCGGGATGTATGGCCATTTTTTCCGGGGCTCCTTTTTGCCTGCTTATTTCCTTTGAAAGGGTCCTCGGGGTGAAAGGGGTCACGAATGGCAATGGCAAACTAACCGGAAAATTGCATCATAGGAAGGTTCCCACCCGTTCCCAGACTGTGCCGGAGTTCCTTCAATTTTTTTGGATGTCAGGGACGATTTTTTTGAGCGTGGAAAAGCGGGAAAAGGTGGTGCTTTAAACTTTAAGCCCCTCCGCATGACCAGTCCTTGCGTGCCCAGACTGCTTTGGGGCTTGCCATATATGTCTCAAGTCTGTGTGTGTGCCCACTGCGGCAAGGAAAGGGCAGAAGGAGGAGGACAACAGAGGAAGAAGGATGGATGAGGAGGACGCAGGGGAGGAGAAGGTGCACACTTAGCTAAAATCTTTGGAAAATCAAATGCCATTCCAATGCTGCACTGGGGTCGGCCTTTGGGCTTTGGCCCCCCGGTTTTTCCACAGAGATGGCATTGAGTTTGCAAAATTAAATAAAGCAACATTTCGAAGCAAACCCAAGTAACCCAAGGCATGAAGCTTCTTCCATGCTGCCACACAAACTCGTTCCCCAAGGAACATCCAAAGCATGGAGCTATCGCCAGCTTCGTCAAGCGCTTTCCGGATGCGATGCAATGCCTCAGATGTCAACGGATTCAGAACGTAAACTACCCCAACGTAGCAACTTGATTGGTGGGAAACTGTTGCTTTGCTCTTAGGAAATCAGAACAATCCAAAAGAATTCGGCACTTAGAGATCTTAAAGATGATTTTTTAACTGACGGCATCAACCGGCCACATCGCAATGCAGATCCTTCCTGAATCGCGCTAGTGCTGGACACCTCAAGTAGACTATGGGCTACATGGCTACACACCTGACCTGATGCAGAAAATGGGTCGAAACGATGAATGGAAACATGGAAGAGCGCTGCGCTCACAGTGTAGTTGACTGATGCACTCATGGCTACATATCTCGCCTTCAGCCTTACAACTTTTTCACGTGGCCTGTCAGCGGCCGATGTTAATACAAAAAATATGCCGCCAAAACACAAATAAACGTCCAGAGGCAACAATAAGATTATTGAACCATTGATAAAAACAAATAAAGTGCTGATTGGATGATGATGATGATGATGATGACGATGATGATGATGATGATGATGATGCTGAAGATGAAGGTGAAGATGAAGATGCCGGTGATGATGATACTGGTGATGATGATGATGATGATGGTGATGATGGTGATGATGAGAATGATGATGCTGATGATGATGATGTTGATGCTGATGATGATGATGATGATGATGATGATGATGATGATGTAACAACGTTTCTTGTACAAGTAGTACGGTGGAAAGGGGTTTAGAGTAAAATTCCAAAGGCGATGAATTACCATAACAGAAGACAACTTGTTGCCTGTTTGCGTTGGACGGTTTCTCACAATTTTTACCTGCTAGCTTACGCTTTCATGTTGCTGATATCCAACTCAAATTTTATCAAGTTTTTTTCTGTGATCAAACATCTTCAAAAATGGATGTTTTTCCCAAGCTTTGTCGCCGGAGATTTTGTGACTTGGCCGGCTGGGTCTGTTCTTCTTGGGCCAGCCCACGTGGAAAACCTAAAGTCATAACATAATCGGAAAAGGTGGATGATGTGAACGACTTTTTGGGCGCTTGATACTTTCCCACAAAGCAAATGATCATGGAAGGAGGATGGGGAGAAAAAGGATGATCATGACGATGGAGCAGTAGTGATGGCAATGATGATGATCATGGTGATTAGTAATTTTCTGTTTGTTTGGGATTTTAGGGCGCGCCTTTTTTCTCTGTTTTTGGGATCCTTTTTGGGCACAAAAAAGGCGCCCTTTTTAACCCTTTCGAAGTGTCAAACCAACAGGGAAGTTTCCAATGATGATGATGACGATGGTGGTGGTTGTCCCCTGGTGTGGAGTTTGCTTTAAAAATCATTCGCGCAAAGTTCCTTTTTAAGGTAGCGTGTGTGTGTGGGTGTGAGGGATATGTGATAGGCAGGCATGTTATACATGGCGAGTTCATTGATCTATCAGATGCTTTTACCTGACTTTGATACACTGCTTTTTATATATAATGTATATATACCATCCCAGGAAAATGAAAACGCTTCCATCGCTGCTTCGTTGGTCAAAAATCTTCAATGCAGAAAAACTTCAAAAAGTTTCGGCTTATGTGCGGAAATGAAATTCAAGGAAAGCAGGAAATGGTTGCAGTGGCAATCTGTGACCTTGATACTGCAAATGGTCCCCCACCTAAAACAGAACATGTATCAATCACTGCAAAGCCACCAAGCGTCCTCTGTATCCTGATCGAGCTTGTGCAGAGAAGCCCAATCCGATCGAAAAGACAGCAGCTTTGAAAAAAGAGCATCATCACTGAATTGAGCCAGGCACCCACGTTTGCAATGGCACTTAGGCTTCCCCAGCATTGCCCGAAGTGCAGTAGCATCAGAAACTGACTCTGCAAAAGATGGGCGGCGCTTCCGCTTCTGAGCTGGGCCTCTGCTGCTGGCGGCTGGCTTTGAGCCACCATGAGAAGAGATACTGCTCAAGGCATTGACATCAGCAAAGCCTTCTGCCATCCATCACAGCCCAACGGCTGTAGATACAGATCAAAACCGGGATCACCAGAATCCAAGTTGCCGATTGAACCACCGTGCTCAGGTCATTAGTTAAAAAGTTTGCAACATTGATTCAACTACCGTGCCATATGACATGTTAGTCCTTGCCATGCTGGCCACCAAATCATCCAGCTTGCATAAAATTGACCCAAGTTTTGCTTCGAAATATGACCACATCACAACACGCCTTCGCATCATTCATCATAGCTTGAAGATGCAGTGAGTCACAGCCACCTGCTAGCACAACTAAATCTAAGAGTGTAGAAGGTGAATCCAATGCATGTCTTTGGAACTTGATCGAGCTGAGCCCGATTTTAACTTGCAATTATCAGCGCAATCAAATCAAAATCTAAGGGCCTTTTCAACCGCTGGCCTCACATGTCACGTAAGAATCTTTGGTGGAAAAATGGCTGGAATGGCTGGCACAATCATTTTGACTGCGTTCTACGCTTCTTGAAAGCGTTGGCTGAATCTGATCCCTTTGGCTTCTGGACTTCCGTGCTCAGTGACACCCAAATGACTGCTCCAACCTTGTGACAATAGGGTTTTGGTGTTGGATAGCGAGATGGATTGCGCATCACCCAGGCGTAAGTACGTTTGTATCTGATAGTGTTCGCCAGGTCTGGCACCTTGTGTAACTCAACAAAATTCTCGAGGGGTAAAGGTAGGAGCGACCTGCCACCTTCAGCAACTTGCACACAATCAACCAGATCGATCTCACCGAGTAGTGTTTGGGCCCCTGAAACTGCCAAAGCTATGCGACCGCGCTTGGCAGTGGCTGAACTTCTCAACTCCCAGCATTTTTCTCCCCTGATGAGCAATTCTGCCCAATGGGATTTCATAAGGAGGGCGCTGGTTGGAGACGACATGGCTCCAGCTTTGCTAGGCCAATTTTCTGCAAAAACAGGCGTGTGCAAAATATCGATATCATATGTTGATCTCAGACTTTCTGAATCCCTGCGGTTTTCTTTTTGGAGTTGCCCTCAATCTGTGACAGCACTGCGAAAATCTGATTGGGCCATGGAGCACATGAACCGTTGAGTTTCACCAACTACTGACACCGCAATGCTGGACTGAAGCAAAAGAAATTAAATCTTGATGTCATTCCCTGCCTCATGCTTCTGCTCACAAAATGGATGCTGCCTCGGCATCATGATCTCAAATTGTCCTGCACTTGGTTTTAGCCTGCGAGTTCGATGATACTGTTTCAAAAGTGCAATCAATGCTGAATCATAGTATACGAGTTCATCCATCGCTGAGGTCCTGGCTCTTCGTGTGAAAGACACACGTTCAAGGTAAGTGTGAAAGGCGAGGGTTCTCTAACAGAATATACTCCAAATAACCACAACAAGAACCATTTTATAGCTTGAATTGCTCTGGAACTTCTGCACCCCTGCGTCAGTACTCATTGAATTAAAGTCCATCTGGGGCTGACTGAGTCTTCCGTCCAAGGACGCAGCAACATAGTTTTAAAACTTTCTTGGGGTTCCTTAACAAACAGGATACCAAAGGAAAACCACTCAGTCAGCCAAGGAATGGCTCCATGCGAGCCAGGACTCTGCCGGCCAGGCACCCCTGGTATGGGACCACAATGTTGCCCATTGCACGGAGGCGGCACTTGTCCTCCTCACTATGCGAATGAGTGAGCCATTCATGAATCGGGACCTGATTGAGCGGGTTCCATGGCTCGGTCATCTCAACCCCTCGCTCAGTCTTGAAGCCATCCTGCGACAAAAAAATGATATTCAGGTTCAAGCCTGAAACTGCATACAAACAGCCACACATTAAAATGCAACTGACACAAGCAGTCAGTCCGGAAAGCGAAAGCTCTTCACTGCACATAGGATAAAGACGCGTTTGCGCCCAGCCTGTCGAAAAGAAACAGAGCAACCTGTTGCAACAAAAAATGATAATCCACCTCCTGAGGCAAGAGCGGGCAATCCTACGTTGGTCAATGACACTGTGCACCATCTGGCTCGCAAGTCTCGCTTTGCACACTCCTGACTGAGCCAGATCCGCTCAGCAAAAACAACGCATTTGGCAAAGAGATGCAAAGAGCAATGAATCAGGCAAAACCAGGCCTTGAGGATGTACCTGAAAAGCTTGCGGGTCTCTGTCTGGCTTGAAAGTAGCGCTCCGACATTTTCAAGCAAAATGCCCTGCCTCAGCAAAATCACAGGCTGTCCACATTACAGTGGCAGAAAGCTTGAATCAAGCCTGATAACTATTTCAAAGGAATAGTGAAAATTCATTCAATGTCCAATTTCTATACAAGAAACGTCGCTCAAAAAGATTCAGCTGGGTTGTTCTTGTTTCTATACCCTCTTAGCTTGAGCCCTTCACGCTTTTGGGAGCTCATCGTAAACCCGGAAGGGTTGTGTGATCAGGCCTGACCTGCTGTCGCTCAGGCCCAGCTGGTTGCCGGCGCTTGACACACCCTGCAGCGGCTTCCAAACAAATCTGGCTTCCAATATGACTGGGAAAAATGAACACACGCAGCGGCTGCCTGGCATGGAAAGCCAGCAGTGACAAGCTGGGCAGCTAGATCACCCCCAGAAGGCTTGTAGCTCACCACATCTGACGAAATGGGGCAAGTGGGCAGACATCCCTCTTGCTGCCGCGACTTGAGGATGGCCACACAGAAACTGTCACTTTCGACCTTGGATAAAGGACCCAGCTGTGTTTTTTGAGGGCCATGATGATTATGTTGAAGAATACATTTGTAATCATATATATGTTTATAAATGAAATAAGTTAATAAGTATCTAAACTCCTGTATGTCAAGCTTCCCAGAACTTAATTGGTATCACAAGCTTCCCATGGAACTGTCTCGAATTGAACTTGCCACAAATAAAACATTGATTTTGTTAGGGGCCAGGCAAATCGCACAGGGTGAAGCCACCTGGCACACACACACTGCAACCCCCAGTGAAGAATCACAGCCAAAAAAAAAGTTTGACTGACTGAGTGGTGGTTCTTCTACAGGTCTTCTTGCATGCATGACTTAGCATAGCGGCTCTGTTTTTCAGCGAATCTTCTTGCGAGGTGGCTCGGCGCTGCCATCTTCTGTTGCAACAGCATTGGACGCAACCTCGCACAAGATTGGAAGCTTTCAAGAAATGATAGGTTTTGGCGTCAATAGGTCCATGACATTGAGCCACCACATGTTTAAAAATCCCAGCCTGACTCCCTCTGGCACTTTCAGTCGCACGTGTCTGAAGTAGGTTCTGCCAGTCGTCTTGCGAATATTGAACCCAGCGGTTGCAATTCCAAACCCACCTCAAACACAGGTTGACACCTGTACTGAACATGTTGTTGTGACTTGACATGAAAATTAAGGCCCAAGCAATGAACTATGCCATTTGCAAAACACGCGAGCTCCTCTCTCCACCCTGATGTATGCAATGTTGACATGTAAACGATGGTGGATTCAAATCATACAGACACTTGAATTTGAAAAACATGAAAAGCACGGTTGAAATGAAAGGATATCCTGGCCTGATCTGGTTGACACCCACAGTGCGCACAGTTTGAAATGTATCCATTTTTTTTGCTGGGTTGACATTGAGCCCAAACAAGAGTTTGACAAGGCTGCGCTGCCAGTCAGCCAAAATGCAAGTCTGACTCTGCTGCCGCGTTCACATCATTCAGAAAAACAGTGACGACAACATCGGAGGGTGGGGCAAAACTGAGAAACATGCAGGGAGGACCCACGGAGTCCAATCTCCAGGCCAGCACACCCAGTGAAGAGAGACACACATTTCATTGGGGTCACCCCCTGCCAAGTGCCGACAATGTCTTTCTTTACATAAATATACTTCTCTGTCAAAAGTACCCCTGGCAATCGTAACCGGACGACCAGCCTCATCGCAGGTCAGCATCATGTCATGCAGAACACGTGGATTCACAAGTCCACTCTGTGGCTTCGTCCAATTCAATGGTAGGCCTGGGTCTCAAAAAATCGTGGTCGGGTTACCACACTCTGTGATTTCAAAATTTCTAAAGCTGCTAAGTTGCTGACCACTGAACCACTCAGCTGTCAATGGGTTCAAACATGAACCTGGAGCCAGCCCATGCTCACCCATCTTTGCGGTGTACACATCCCAATGCCGCACTTGGTTCGCCAAGTCCTGGGCTAGCCCCCGTCAAGCCCCAATGCTGTCATCAAATTCGGAAACGAAATCAAGTTTGAATGCAAAATCTGAGGTATTGGCAGAAATTCCCCGGGTCGAAACTTCTGATTTTGTGCAGCGATGGGAGGCTCCGAACACTCCTCAAGAAAAAAATATTCTCTTTGTAAAATGAACCTTGAACTCCCCCATAATGGCATTGGGTCAAACTGAGCGTGAAACTCAAACAACTCCACGACTTGAAGTGCTTGGCGCCAAGGAAGATTTTTGCTCCATTCTTCTTGGTGCCTTGCCTGGTTGCGCGGCTGACCTCAAAGTTTCAAATGCTGTCTAAGGCTGATCCATTAATGGCAGGAGAAGTTCAGGCCCCAACAACCTTCAACTTCAAAGGATGGGCCTTTGGCAAAGGCATTGCTATGTGGCGGATCTCAGATCCATGAACAGCTCCACAGGCTGGCATTGGTGCCTGACATGGCGATTCTGTGACCAAAAAACCTGAGAGCAGGTGATTACCAACAAAACGGTGATTAAGAACAAAATTGTGGCCTTCTGGTATTGTTTCAAAACCAGCTTCTTGACATGGGTGCATCGAGGACCAGCCTGACAAGGCTATGGTTTCTATCAACATGTGGAGATATTATAGCATTTACAAATACAATGCTGCTGTGGAAATTGGTTTCCCTAGCTAACCGGTTTGAAATTGAACTTCCTGATTCCTGTGCATTGAAAAGAAACTACGCCTGGCACTGGGTGCCCTTTTTCTTTTTGACCACGGCCTGACAAATCAAACAAAAGGCATCGAACATGTTATGTCACGTGTGTCCTAGGACAAAATGGCCCGCCTTCTTTGTGGCAGGTTTCTTCTGCAGCGGCATCTCAGGTTCAATTTCCGACTCAGACCTCCACAAGCGAAGTTTGCTGATTTGAAAAACTTGCCGATTTCGTAACTTGAATCTGACAAAAAATGTTGCTTTGAATCACCCCAGGTCCAGGTTTTAAACAATTGACTGAGAGAAAGGCAGGGCGTCAATGGAAGCAAATCTCTCCATCCATCCACCGGCACCGGGTAAGCCAGCCCCTGGTGTGAGCCCCTGTTGAGCCGTTTTTGGCCCCAAGGTGCGGACGGCGCGCGCACAAAAAAAAAAACTCAGCACAGGAAATGCTCAACTTTGTTTAGAATCACTTAACACTGTTTTTTTGGAAAATTATTTCGTGTAGTTGTTGGTTGTTTAAGTTTGGAGTTGTTGCTAATTAATTTAGAACCTTGCCAATGATCATTGGCCACCCATGTAAGCTGCAGATTCAAAGCATCATCAGTTTTTCAGAACTTATCATATCCCATTGGCAGGGGGCCACCTACAAAATTGACACTGGGTTGTAAGTTTATTGACAGCTGGCAATCTCATAGTTGCTGCTGCAAGCAAACTGAACACAGCACGCTGCCCACAAAATGACGCAGCAGGACATCGGGGTTGGGATGGGTGGGTGGGCTGAAGAATCACTCCATGAGAAACACATTTGAATGGTCTTGCTGCTGATGATGGAAGCTGTATGAAAGCATTTGGTATCGCAGCAGCTCATGGGTAAGAGCCCAAGTTTGGCAACCCAATGGGACTGTTGATGAACGAAGCTGTATGAAAGCATTTGCTATCGCAGCAGCTCATGGGTAAGGGCCAGAGTTTGGCAACCCAGTGGCACTGGTACTGTTGATGATAGAAGCTGTACTGAAAGCAGTTTGACATTGACTGCTATCGCAGCAGCTCATGGGTAAGGGCCAGAGTTTGGCAACCCAATGGCACTGGTACTGTTGATGATAGAAGCTGTATTGAAAGCAGTTTGACTGCTATCGCAGCAGCTCATGGGTAAGGGCCAGAGTTTGGCAACCCAATGGCACTGGTACTGTTGATGATAGAAGCTGTAATATTCAAAGCAGTTTTGATTGCTGTCGCAGCAGCTCATGGGTAGGCCAGAGTTTGGCAACCCAATTCAATTTGGCAACCCAAATGCAAGGCAAACCCCTTAAATGGAAAGCAGTGGCTGGACCCGCCTCGAGCTCAATGAGGACTGGGAAGGACTCCTGCGAGAAGCCATGCGCCCCACGTTGAAGCTACCAGGGGAGAAGGGCCCGAGTGCAGCTTTAGCCATTCAGCTGGCCAACGAACAGCAAACCGTGCATGCCTTCCCCGCCAAGATCGAACCAAAGCCATTCAAAGGGGGACTCCACCAAATCCGGCTAGGGTCGGAACTACTGACGTTCGAGCTGGGGTGGGCCAAGGGCGGAGGATCGATCGCAAGCCAGGCGCAAGCTGACTGGATCGTCTGTGTTCTCACTCAAGACCCAAAAGGGCGGGAGGCAGACATCCTTCTAAAAACCCTCGCCAGAACTGATTGGAGAGGACGACTTATCGTTGACCAGCCCAGGGAGCTCTCTGAAACCAGCCGAAATCGCCTGATGCAGCTTCAGGTTCAATGGGGTCAGGCACAAGTGGTCGACTATCAGACTTCACACCACGGCAGCTTCTTTGCCAGGGCCAGAAGACTTTGGCTTTTTGGAGGAACGGCCGACGAAAAGGAGAGAGTTCAAGCATGGCGAGTTGCACAAGTCAACGAGTGTCAGATGTTACCTCTGCGATCCGCAGAGGAGTCAGGTAAGGGATTATGCCCGCCCGACTACCTTTTCACGAGAGAACCAAACCTCATCACCACCGGAGACAAGTGGCTTCCAAAACCAGTCGGCCACTTGGTTGACGTGCGCGCCGGCAGCAGGCACCTGGTCCATAGCACACGGGGCCCAGCTTGCGGACCTAGGCTCACAGGTGAGCGTCTCAAGATCCCAGGAGGCACCCTGTTGGAAGATGGGACGGGTCTGGTCCGTCCTCTCCTCCCAGAAGAGGTGTGGGAAATGCAAGGGGGCCTCGCAGAGGATTGGCGTTCCGCCGACTCGAAGAGAAAGGATCGCATGATAGCAGCTGCAGTCCGGGAGCCAGGCTGGCAAGTGGCTATGAGTCTCATGCAGGCTCTGACTGGAACCGATGGGAAGGCAGGAGTCCTGGACCCCGATGAGATCCAAGCCCACGAGCAACTAGAGGTCTGGCTGCGAGCGTGGGGGAGGAACCCGAAGGCTCCCTCTTCCGAGCTTTTCCTTACTTCGTGGAAAGAGCCACGTGTGGCAGTGGCACCCACTCATGAGTTCGTGGGAGCGACAACCCAGGCGAAAGCAGGCGGAGGCAAACGCACCACCGTGAAGCCAGCACTCAGTGAAGTGGAGAGGCTGGTCCAGCCCGCATCCAAAAGAGGCGGGACTACTGGGACCCCCCGCCCCCGAGGAGGGAGCACAGCAGAGCTTGACCAGGTAGCCATGGAAGCTGTCTTGGCCAAACTGGCTGATTCAACTCGCAGGGTCTATGCATCAGGCTGGAAGCAATGGGCGTTGTACAATGCCAGCTCGGGCACTCACCCGTTCCTTGACGGAGAAGAGCGCTCCGCTCGGACTGAAGACGAGCAGAGGTTGATTCGGTTTGTAGTATTTCTACATCAAGTCATGGGAAGGTCCATAGGTGGGGTCAGACAAAGGTTGTCAGCCATTCGTTATGCACATGTTGCGGCAGGATACCCTGATCCACTGGTCGGGCGACCTCGGTTGTGGGCAGCGGTTGCGGGTCTACAACGTTGGGAAGGCGCCCCAAAACGAAAGCTCCCTGTTACCCCCAACATGTTGCGATGGTTGGTCCAGCACTTGAAAAGTAGCGGTTTATCAGTTGTCGATCAAACCATGATCAAAGGAGCCCTTCTTACAGGTTGGTTTTTCATGATGCGGGCCAGTGAACTCTTGCCCAGTATCAATGGAGAAGACCCCATGAATAGGGCGCTCCGCCCAGCTGATGTTGCTTTCTTTTCGCATGGGCAGCCTACCATAGGCGCCAAGGCCGATGAAGTCGTAGTGCAGATTAGATCTTCAAAAACCGATCAGTATGGTAGGGGCCAAACACGGTCACACCACCGCTCCGGTGGAGATCTCTGCCCTGTTGAAGCCTTAGCCGCGCTACAGGTCCTACAGCCCCATCGGTGGCGCAGCCCTGAAGACGAGGCGCCTTTGTTCCGCTATGAAGACGGGACGGGGCTTGACAGAGAGGGCATCACCCATTTCATCAAGATAGCTGCATTGGCCGCCGGGTTTCCTGGCGAACTCGCTGGTTCACACTCACTACGTAAGGGGGGAGCCACTGCATTTTTCGCAAGTACTGGGGACTTAGAAAGGCTTAAGAGGTACGGTGGTTGGTCATCCGATGCTGTTCATGCTTACCTTTATGAAGATCATACCGCTCAGAAAGGGATTTCAGAAGGGATGTTGGGTACCAGCCTCATTACACTCCCCAGCCAAAAAGACCCCGGGGTCCGTAGGCATCCAGCGGTTGTTCCAACTGAACCCCAAGAGTCCTATCCTGGTTTATTGGGGGTCCCTCAAGATGAGTTATTCCATAACAGTCATGGAGGATCAAACCCTTTTAGCAGCCCAGTTGCCACGAAGCGAACATCCAGAGCTCCTCGAGGCTCAAACACCAATCGTGCATTTTCGTGGGCACCAGATCGTAAGGTATCGTTTGCAGTGAAGGCTGGTGCTATGGATGCTACTGATGAAAGTGCCGATGGGGGACGAAAGCCAGCAGCTCCAGATCGAGCCAATGCAGCGAACCTCTTTGTAGCAGCTCACCCAGGACTAGATCTTTATCAATTCCTGGGTGTTCCACCCGGTGCGACTCCAGCTCAGGTGCTCACCGCATATCGTCGCAGGTCCCGTGAGACTCATCCAGACCGCTTTGCAACTGCTGGGGAAGATGTCCAGAAAGCCAAAGGAGAGGAGTTTAAGATGTTGGGAATGGTCCGAGAGATCCTCTTGGATCCACTGATGGCCACTCAATACATGAGGTGGAGACAAGAGCAAATTGCTGCAAAGCATGGGCGAGGCCGTTCCCCAGTTGTTCCAGCTGGTGTCTATGCCAAGCAAGCTTCATCATTCCAACAAGCCAGATCAAGTTTTGATCGGTCCTCCACTCCTGCTGGCGCAGGAGCCAGCAGCTCGGGAGGAGCAGGCCGGGAGGTGCCTCGTAAACCGCCCCCCCCTTCACAGGGATATCCTGGAGGAGGAGCGCAAGGAGGACCGCCCCCAGCCAAAGCCCCTCCTGCTCCAGCAGGGACCGCGCAAAAGCCAAGGAAACCTCCACCGCCCGCGAATCCGCCTACTCCGAGCTCAAGTGCGAAGCCAAGGAAAGCACCGCCACCAAGAAATGATGATGGGAGGCCCAGAGGACCTACCACCCCACCAATGCAAAAAATGGCACCCACGCAAGCTATTCCAAAGGGAGCACCGCCAACACCGGCCAAGCATTTCCCCAGGGCGACCCAACCATACACTGGAGGGGGCATGGTGGACGATTTGCGAGTTCCTCGCATCGCACTGGCAGATGCAGGGGTGAAACGATCAGACGCTCCGTCTGAGTCTTGGTGGTCAGAGACGTCATCCAGATATAGGGCCCCTTCGAGCTGGTTGGAGCCCGGGTCTGAGCCTTGGGTCGAAGATGACCTTCCACCGGAGAGCACCGTCCCAGACAACGAGGATGACTATGTGTATGTTGAGGTGGAAGCTGAAGACGATGACATGGACATCCTCCAAGACCACCAATTCGATGAAGAAGATTGGGACGAGCCGGCATGGGAAGAGCTCCCTGAGGAGGGGACCGGGTCTGAGCAAGTCTTCCAAACCTTCGATCAAGCCGTGATGCAAGGACTGCTCCAGTTCATGGATTTCGTGAACAGAGGACGGGCCAAGATGCTGATTGAAGGTGCTCCACCTATGACTTCTGTCCCAAAAGAGGTCCGGGAGGCATGTTTGGGAGACCATCCGGGGCTTCTAAAAATGCATCCCAGCGCAAAAGCATGGCTAATGGCAGGGACGAAAGGTGTCGAATTCAAGAAGCCACCACCTCCTAAGCCTCCCATGCTTTCGGCTCCCCCAAAGGTGGCTCCGCCGCCACTTCCAAAGCCAGCTCATCCAGAACAGGTACCTGAGCCAAAGGAGCCGCCGAAAGCCCTAGCCCCCAAACCAGTTCCTCCAGTGCTGATGCAGAAGACACCAGCACCAAAGAAGCCCCCTCCGCCACTGCCAGCAGCCAACTATGCCATGCCGGCAAGAGCTATGGGACTCGGTTCAGGCGCAACAGCATCATCTTCTGAGGGCGCTCCGCCCACTGAGGTGAACCACTTTGGGTTTGACGAGTCTGAAGTCGACTATGGTGATGACGATGATCGAACCCCTGAGGAGAAGGCAGAAGATGAGGAGCTGCTCGAGAAGACCAAGACGAAAGTGGAAGCTTTCCTGCGAGCACCCCCAGAGATGAGGAAGACGCTTCGCTCCCAAGCATGGAAGCGGTGCAAGAGCAAACTGGAGGAGCTCAACTTTGAGTTCAGCACTCGTCCACTGCCCGAAATGCACCCAGGCAAATTCGAGAAGGATCTCAAGGATGGCTTCACCTATGCGGAGGCCAAACAACGCCAAAAGGGCCGGCAACGGGCCGCCCGACATCAGCGAGCCTTGGCTGAAATGGAGGGTGCCTCCTTTGAGGATTTCCCGAAATCCTGGTCACATGGGTATTCCAAGCAAGTCCTGAAGCCGGGTTTCCTCGAAGAGAAGAACAAGGAGCGGGCCCGCCGAAAAGCTACAAAGGCCAACTATCGATCCGATAGATCACGCAGCACTCCACCACCTCGCCAGTCAGCTGCTCCAGCTGCTGCATCCAACCAGGCTGAAGCTGAAAGCACGGCCAACTGGGAAGCAGGAAGTCAATGGCACGACTGGCAAGCGAGACGCAGCAGTGAGTGGCAACGGCATCAACCAGATGTCACACAACGGAGAGATGCAAATGCCGCAGACGATGACGACTGGGGCAACTGGACCAGAGATGGGCAACGAGGCAGCAACCAAGATGGCTGGTCCAGCTATGACTATGGAAACCATCAGGATCGACAGTGGAACCAGTGAGACTTTGCCGTGGCAATTCTGCATTCATCCGTGTTCCATGGAGGCTTCAACGTACAGGTTGCCTACTGAGAGCCGGGGAATGTCTGAGGCAGCCTTGATTCTTTGTTTCACGGTCGATACCATGTGGGTTTTCTTTTGCATGTCCATTGTAGATTTTTATTTGGCGGATGCCCATGCCTATTTCGGGGGGATATGCCGCTGACAGAATGTCGGCTGGCAAGTCTCTCTGGGTGAGTGGTTTGTACAGAGACTGCACCACTCGTCACAGACAAAAATAGGAGTCGTGAGCGCTCCGCTTGTTTTGGTAGCATGTCTCTAGCTAACTTGGATGTTCACTAGAACGGAGGGTTAGCGTGTTTTGCTACTGTCATTTTGGGCTCAAGTCTTTGCCCATTTTGATTGTTGGCCCTCCCACCCACCCGGGGGGATATGCCGCTGACAGAATGTCGGCTGGCAAGTCTCTCTGGGTGAGTGGTTTGTACAGAGACTGCACCACTCGTCACAGACAAAAATAGGAGTCGTGAGCGCTCCGCTTGTTTTGGTAGCATGTCTCTAGCTAACTGATCGTTTTGGTGCTCCCACGTGTCTCGTCTCGAGTCTCTGGTTTTCCTGTGGCTTCGCCGTGTCTATGGGGGAAGCCGCAAAACCTCTCCTTTTCGAAGGTTTCCAAGATTTCCAAGGAAGTTGTCATGTCGTTTTGCGTGGCAGGCGTGGCACTTTGTGACATTCCAAACTTGTTTGATGATGTGTTGAAAATGTCAAAATTGGAGGAAGTCTCGTACGAAATGCTGGTTTTTCTGCATCCACATGTCTTATCTCCAGTCCCTGGTTTTCCTGTGGCGTCGCCGTGTCTATGGGGGAAGCTCTGCACTCCACACTCTACACTTTACACTCCGCACTCCACAATTTACACTTTAGACTCCACCACTTTACACTCCACACTTTACACTTTGCACTTTACACTCCTCACACCTTACCTGCGACTTTACACTCCACACGCACACTTTACTCTACACTCTACACTTTACACTCCTCGCTCCTCACTCTACACTTTGCACTCCACACTTTACACTTTACACTCCACACTCCACACTTTACACTACACACTCCTTACTTTACACTCCACACTTCACACTCCACACTTTCCACTCCACACTTTCCACACTTTACACTCCACACTCCACCCTTTACACTCCTCACTCCACACTTTACACTCGTCGCTTTACACTCTACACTCCACACTCTACACTCTACACTTTAAACTACACTCCACGCTTGACATGTCACACTCCACACTCCACACTCTACACACCACACTTTACATTTTCCACTCCACATTTCACACTCCACACTCTACACTTTACACTCCACACTTTAAACTTTACACTTTACACTCTTCACTCCACACTCTACACTCCACACTCCCCACTTTACACTCCACACTCCGCACTCTACACTTTCCACTCCACACTCCGCACTACACACTCCACACTTTACTGTGCACTCCACAATCCACACTTTGCACTCCACGCTCCTCACTCCACACTCTACACTCCACACTCCACACTCTACACTTTACACTCCATACTCCACACTCTACACTTTACACTCCGCATTCAACACTTTACACACTCTACACTCCCCACTCTACACTTTACACTCCACACTCCTTACTTTACACTCCTCACTCCACACTTTACACTCCACACTCCACACTTTACAGTCCTCATTTCACACTCCACACTTTACACTCCTCACTCCACACTTTACACTCCACACTCCACACTTTCCACTCCACACTCCACACTTTACACTCCACACTTTACACTCCTCACTCCACACTTTACACTCCACACTTTACACTCCACAATCCACACTCTAGACTTTACACTCCAGACTCTACACTCCACACTCCACACTTTACACTCTACACTAAACACTCTACACTCCACACTTTACACTTTACACTCCACGCTTTCCACTTTACACTCCTCACTCCACACTACACTCCACACTTTACACTCCACACTCCACACTCTACACTTTACACTCCACACTCTACACTCCAAACTTTACACTCCACACTCCACACTCTACACACCACACTCTACACTTTCCACTCCACACTCCACACGCTACACTCTACACTCCACACTCTACACTTTACACTCTACACTTTACACTCTACACTTCACACTCTACAGTTTACAAACTCCACACTCCTCACTCCACACTTTACGCTCCTCACTTTACACTCCACACTCCTCACTCCACACTTTACACTCCTCACTTTACACTCCACACTCCACACTTTGCACTCCACACTCCTCACTCCACACTCTACACTCCACACTCCACACTCTACACTCCACACTCTACACTTTACACTCCATACAGTATGGAACAAGGGAACATGTACAAGACTGTTTAAATTAACTATTGTAATGCCAAGTTAGGATTAATAATCCCCGCGGTATTAATCAACCTCCTCTGCCCCCCAAAAAAATTGTAATTTAAAAAAAGGTGGTCCCCCCGGATTAATAAATCCCCCCGATTAAAAAACCACCAGTGCTGAAATCAATTTTTTATCCAACAATTTTTATTTCCAATTCTATTTATTTCCAATTTGTTTTTACCTTTTTTTTTAATCATCATTGTTATACTTAAGGTTTAAGTTGATCATTGAAAAATTCAAAAAATGACTATTCCCCAAATGATCGATTTCTAATTAAAATCTTTATAAAAATCATCAGTTTGGATAGCTCCCAAAGGGTACCCCCCATGAGCCCATGTCCCCCATTAATAATAACCATGGTTTGCCCCCGATTAATCAACCACCTTTCTGATCCATGAGATTTTAACAAATCCAATAGAATTCAATTAAGATCTAATTGACGTAAGCCATATCCAATTTTTTATGGTTCAGAGTTTCTTATTATTCTTATTATTAAGGGGTAGTCAAGAAACTAGCCAGAAGGTACCCCCCTACCTACCTGGTGGGGGGGGGGGTTGATTAATCCGATGTTGGCATTATTGCAGAAAGGTATTGTGCGTGACTTCATAACCATGTGTATTGACATCTGTACCATTAACACACGTGTGAGCATTCGGGTTCGTGGGCTTCATCTTGTTTTTTGAATTTTTTTCCCGAATGCGTAGCAAGGGTTCCTGTTTCACTGTGGGGGTCTGGGGGTTGAGGGTGTGTTCGCTCGACGTCGCGTCCGCGTCCGCAACCGTCCGCAACCGTCCGCAACCGTTCGCAACCGTTCGCAAGCGTCCGCAACCGTTCGCAACCGTCCGCGCGATCCCCGTATGGCCGTGCCTATGGGAAGTTCTGCAGAGGTGGTCATTTTTGGAGGTTTCAGACGTGTCGTTGCTTCGTTTCGCGTGGCAGGCGTGGCACTTCGTGACATTCAGACGTGTTTTGCAACGTGTTGAAAATCGTTTTGCATGGCAGGCGCAATACTTTTGTGACGTTTTCAGAAGATGTGTTGCAGTTTTCGTGGCAGGCGCAACATTTTGGACGTGTCCATCGTCATTTTTCGTGGCAGGCGCAGCACTTTAGACGTGTCCTGTTGCGTGTTTTTTGTAAATCGCATTGGCAGGGCTGCGTCAAGTGGTGACAAGGTGCAAATTCCGTGGCAGGCGTGGCATTTGCTGACATGTGCTGAAAATTGACGGAAGCCTCGCACGAAACATCGATTTTGAGGTTGCAAATTTTCAGGTTCTAAGCAAAGTGCCAAAATGGGAGGAAGTCTCGTACGAAATGCTCGTTTTGGTGCGCAAGACGTGTCTCGTCTCGAGTCTCTGGTTTTCCCGTGGCTTCGCCGTGTCTATGGGGGAAGCTGCAAAACCTGTCCTTTTGTTATGTTGCCAATTGTGAAAATCGCCGGAAGTCTCGCACGAAATGATCGTTTTGGTGCTCCCACGTGTCTCGTCTCGAGTCTCTGGTTTTCCTGTGGCTTCGCCGTGTCTATGGGGGAAGCCGCAAAACCTCTCCTTTTCGAAGGTTTCCAAGATTTCCAAGGAAGTTGTCATGTCGTTTTGCGTGGCAGGCGTGGCACTTTGTGACATTCCAAACTTGTTTGATGATGTGTTGAAAATGTCAAAATTGGAGGAGGTCTCGTACGAAATGCTTGTTTTTCAATTGTTTTTCTGCATCCACATGTCTTATCTCGAGTCCCTGGTTTTCCTGTGGCGTCGCCGTGTCTATGGGGGAAGCTCTGCACTCCACACTCTACACTTTACACTCCGCACTCCACAATTTACACTTTAGACTCCACCGCTTTACACTCCACACTTTACACTTTGCACTTTACACTCCTCACACCTTACCTGCGACTTTACACTCCACACGCACACTTTACTCTACACTCTACACTTTACACTCCTCGCTCCTCACTCTACACTTTGCACTCCACACTTTACACTTTACACTCCACACTCCACACTTTACACTACACACTCCTTACTTTACACTCCACACTTCACACTCCACACTTTCCACTCCACACTTTCCACACTTTACACTCCACACTCCACCCTTTACACTCCTCACTCCACACTTTACACTCGTCGCTTTACACTCTACACTCCACACTCTACACTCTACACTTTAAACTACACTCCACGCTTGACATGTCACACTCCACACTCCACACTCTACACACCACACTTTACATTTTCCACTCCACATTTCACACTCCACACTCTACACTTTACACTCCACACTTTAAACTTTACACTTTACACTCTTCACTCCACACTCTACACTCCACACTCCCCACTTTACACTCCACACTCCGCACTCTACACTTTCCACTCCACACTCCGCACTACACACTCCACACTTTACTGTGCACTCCACAATCCACACTTTGCACTCCACGCTCCTCACTCCACACTCTACACTCCACACTCCACACTCTACACTTTACACTCCATACTCCACACTCTACACTTTACACTCCGCTCCACACTCTTACTCAAACTCTTCACTT